GAAATTAAATTTTGGTGGTATGGATGTAAAAGGACATCTAATAAATACGTGTCTCAATATTTTAAGAATTACATTTTTGCGGTTACCGCAAAATAGAGAAAATAACGTCCCCGCGTAAACAACCGGTTATACGGTAAAAAAAATAATATGTCTAAAAGAAATGAAGACGTTACACTCATGCCACGAGAAACAACCTACCATCCGTCGTCGTTGCTGGACTGGTCACCAAATTAACATGCCAATGGCGATGGTCCCATAACCCATTTGACTCACGTGATATAAAGAGCCCAGAATTGGCACATGCCATTTACCCGTACGGGTGAAAATCATTCTGAAGCTTATCTAGAAAAGTGGTAGTAAATTTTCCACCTGGGGCCAGAGATGTACAATTATATTTCCATCCCTATTCAAATATCAATACAACAGAAGTGCCAAAGTTTAATTCATTGCAGTAGTTGCAGGCGGTGACTTGACAGAAAAGTGTCCGAAGACATCATGATATGCCTCATTGAAACATGTGGTCAGTGTTATTGAGAGGGTTTCACCATATCGTTAAAAAAACTACTGTTTTTGGTAGTTTTAGTATCATTTGTTACCTCCTAATCTTTTGACTGGTAATATGTATATAAGCACAGTCCTGAAAGTGTAGGACAGGCCATAGATTGAAGGTGCCATTAAACTTTTTAAGTAAGTAAAAAATCCGATATGACCACCATGACGTCATAGATCAAAATCTTATAAAGTCCATAACTATATTGATTATGTAGCATTCATGCAATGACGAACTTTGTAAGCTACCTACGATACTAACATTTTGTCTCTGTGTGTTATTTACAAAACTTTAATAAAAAAAAAAAATCCGCGTTGCTGGGTCAAAGGTCACAATTTTTTGTAATTTTTTTTTTTTTTTTTTTCCATTTCTGTTTGGAAAAGAAATTGTAGTAGTCGATTGATAATGTCAACCCAATGGATTTGGTGGTTTCAGTTTTCCCTTACTCTACCGTTAATGATGTACGCCATTTTGAATTTTCCCGTTGATTTTTGCTATCTATAAAACATAATAAACAAGATGTTCTACCACATGTGTTTGACTAAATTAAAAAATAACAAGAGACCCATATGCCTTAACGGTCATCTAACTGCAGTATAAAGATTTGATAGAAGCCCCAAGGGTTTGAATTGCTCACCTGTTCAACAGCTTACAGAAGACTTTATAAAGTCAATGTCTGTAAACTTGGGATCCTATTCGTAAAGTGTGCTACTTCACAAATAAACCAAGACCAACAGCTTGTTGCAAGACGAAATTTCAAGTTCTATACATATTTGATATCAATGACCATAAAAATAGGTCCAGATCAAATATTTAAAGAAATTCATCCTAGTGTAATACCTATCAGCACATTGTGCCCTGTGATTATTAAGAAATTGTTTGAACCATGACTGTAAAAGTGTATGCATGTCATTCATTTCCACAAACTTGGTAACGCTTCATCTCAATATTCTACAATTGCACATACCCAATATAAAACCCTAAGCTTTTCGGTTACTGAGAAGTCGTTTGAAAGTTCACGCACGTTTGACAGCGTGTGGCGGACGTCGCATGGCGACAGATAAAACACGAAGGATATAAATGGCATCCTGTCAGACGATCTCAAAATGTGCTGTCATGACGCCATATCCGTTTTATCTAAATTTTTGTAATTCAATAACGGCTTAATATATTTAACTCAAAACTCTGACATTCCTCATCTCAGATATCCAAGACATAAGCTATCAGGTTTGATAATAAGCATGACCATAGGTCACTTTCAAGATTACATGGGCCAGTTGTGTTACAGTCTTCAAATGATTTCTTTTCAATTGGTCAGTTGCATATTGCGATCAATTATTATTGATACATTGTATTAGTAAGAAAATATTGTTTCAAAGGTCAACTTCCGGGTTTCAGAAATGATCATATGTAGAAAGTTCTTTATCGGGTAACACAAAAAGGAAATCTGAAGCTGTACTGTCGAGAATAACGATACATAAATACATATATTTTTTATAGTTGGTAAGAGAATCGGAGACAATGATAAACAATGGAACCCGCCATTTCATGTTCGCCGTATTCTAGTCGAGAGAAAAAAAAATCAATCATGACTCAGGTACGTTTCCTTTTAACATAACCAATTTCAGACAGGCGCTGAATCACCATGAGCGATATTTTTGGGCTTAAGTTACGTCAATTCACCATATTTGTTGAATCTTTATTTGTCACATAGTGACGTTTTCTTTATTTTGCAAGATGATACCATGATCCCTACCAGCAGTAAACCAATTTCAAATTCCTAAATACTGAGAACCAATTTATATCAAACATCAGGGAGTCAATTACAGATCGATAATTACAGTGATCCAATTAGAGACCTATAACTACAGAAAGCCAATTACAGATCAATAATTACACCGGGCAAACTAAAGGCGATGATTACAATTACAAAGAACTGATTACAGATACATAATTACGAAGAACCAATTACATATCCATATTTGCAGGGAGCCAATAGCAGACCAGTATTTACATTTACTTAAAACTAATTACATACGATATTTTCAGAGAAAAATTACAGATCAATAATTACAGAGAGCCAATTACAGATTAATATTTACATGGCGCTAATTACAGACGAAATTACAGAGACCAAATTACAGATACATAATTACACAGAGTCAATCACGGATATAAAAACTACCGAGTCAATTGCAGACGATAATTTCAGAGACGTACAGATCCATAGTTACACAGAGCCAATTACAGATCCATAGTTACACAGAGCCAATTAAAGATCCATAGTTACAGAGCCAATTACAGATCCACAGTTACACAGAGCCAATTACAGATCCACAGTTACACAGAGCCAATTACAGATCCACAATTACACAGAGCCAATTAAAGATCCACAGTTACACAGAGCCAATTACAGATCCACAGTTACACAGAGCCAATTACAGATCCACAGTTACACAGAGCCAATTACAGATCCACAGTTACACTGAGCCAATTGCAGATCCACAGTTACACAGAGCCAATTACAGATCCATAATTACACAGAGCCAATAACAGATCCATAATTACACAGAGCCAATTACAGATCCATAATTACACAGAGCCAATTACAGATCCATAATTACACAGAGCCAATTACAGATCCATAGTTACACAGAGCCAATTACAGATCCACAGTTACACAGAGCCAATTACAGATCCATAATTACACAGAGCCAATTACAGATCCATAATTACACAGAGCCAATTACAGATCCACAGTTACACAGAGCCAATTACAGATCCATAATTACACAGAGCCAATAACAAATCAACATTTACATAGAACCAATTACAGACGATAATTTTAGAGAACATATTACAGATCCATAAGAACAGAGTTGATAACATAACCATAAATGTGGATAACAAATTATAGATCTCGAGCTAGCAAGGGAGGCAATTACAGATCTCCTATCCCAGATTCATAATTACAGATCCCAAGTAAAGATAACAAATTACAGGTCCGTAAGTAAACAGAACTAATTAAAGATACCTACCGCAAACAGAACCAATTACATATCCGTAAGTAAAAAGAATAAATTACAGATCCCTAATTACCGAGCCAAAATTTGACCCATAACAGCAGATAACCGATTTCAATTATCTTTTTTCTAAAATTGATTTAAATAAGTCCGTATCAACTGACCTTTTTTAATGCAAAACAAACTTGTTACTGCTAAGCTTTGCAAGCACATTGTAGATATATACCGGTTGATGGCCCTAATGACCTCTTACGCGTTGACGGGCGGTTATGACTGTAATAATAATAAAAATAATAACATTACAAATATTGATAATAATTACCACTTCTTTCTTTACGTGTTGGATGGTTAGTAGAATTACAAGTGTGCATGTTTTCATAAAGCTATCAATGTAATTTGTCTCTATCAAGGGGCATAACTCGTTTAAACTTGGTTGCACAATGCTTGGACATTGTACCTCACCAGACGATTGTAATACAAACAGAATTAACATCTAAAGTATTTTAGTAATTTATAAAAACTTCACCTTCATCATTTTTTTGTTAAATTGGTTATCGACAATACTTCATAAAGGCTTGACATCTTGTATATTCTGATATTTTTAGTACTTTTTAATTTCTCTATTATTTTTTTCACCACTACAGACAGGTACATTAAAATTTTGTATATTTTGTGCATCACGGAATGCAGACAACTGATGGGTGTCACGTGATCTTCCAATCAAAGTTCAGTAGTTTCATTGACAACATATCAAATGGAAGGAAATCTGTTGGGTAAACAAAAGGAAACCCAGAAAAGAAAAATGCTTACGGTAATATTTTTCATTTTTGATCTATTCCTCCACTTTGATTGATATATCCAAAGTTTATAAATTATTCATGTTATTTTATACAACGTAATACTCATTAATCTATACAGTTTCAAGATTTTTATGCACAGCAGAAAAAAGTCTACAAATACTGTTAATTCTAAGTCAAACTTTTCTGAAATTAGAACAAAACCATAATGTACAGCTATATTTCTGGTAACAATGTTGTGTTTACATACTTTGTACCGTTGCTATGTTTTGTGTTTGAATAGATTTAACTGTAGAATTTTCTAGACTTCCGAGGAATCTATGTTCTCAATGTTGATGATGTACCTACAATACTAATATAATGTGGGGTACTGCAGACAAAAGTTCGAAGTTGGTCAAATATAACTCATTACAGGAAAAGGTTGCTTTATCTGAGTTATATGATAAAAATTATCTTCAATTTGTTCTCATTTCATATGATATTTGTTGAAAGTTGCCTCAAACTTTAAATTTTCTGTTCACCAAAGCCCACAAAAATAAAAACATTTAAAAACTTGTTTCATAAAATCACATTTGAAATAAAAATTCATTTTAAGATCCTACACTGGTATAAATAAACTGTGAAAAAACAGCCTTTATATATAAACTTTATTCATTTCACAACAATTGCAAAACATATTGATCACTCATCTTGGCCTTGATAGAAGCGCAGGATAATTTTTAACGTGGGAGGAAACCAGAGTATGCAGGGAAAACTCACGTTGTTGGGCAGGTGACCCCATACCTGTTTGATCAGGCAGGTGACCTCATACCTGTTTGATCAGGCAGGTGACCTCATACTGTTTCACATCTGTTCTGAGAATCGAATCCCGGATGGCTAGATGAAAGGCGAGTGTTTTGTCACTGCGCAACTCAACCAGCCTTTTGTCAATGATCATACAATGGTAAATAAACCAATATTCCAACAACAACAACAACTTAAATCAATGCTTTAATAATTCTGAAAAAAAATCTTATATGGGCTACAATTGTGTCAACTTGTTAAAACCTCAGCTCCATTATTTGTAATAAGAATGGTATGTTCAAATTGGGCCGACCGCCCTCCATCATTAGATATACAAGTCCAACCATCATTCAACACAGTGTAAGCTGTCTCCCCTTCACAAACAAGAGGCTCTGTAACAGAGAAAGTAGATGTATGTTGTAGTGTGTGGCAAAGTTATGGTTACAATGAGCTGCCTGGCTAGATAACATCATCTCCACAGGTAAGCAAGAACTGGCGTTAAGCAATAGCAGTATTGCAAAAATCATTGGTTCAAGTTTATAAAAACTCACTGAAGATCAATACTTTTGTAACAAATTTGAACACTGGGTTCTAAGGACAGCATACCTAGCATTCTAAAACATGTAAACCATTAAAACCTGTTGAAGATGTTACAACGGATGACGTCTGGTCCTCAGTACTAAATCTAGAAAATTTATATATCTTACTCATGAAATGAAGACATTTACTGTTACTTTAGTATAAATGTTTTAATTACCTATTGTGAAAGTCATTCCACTCTGCATCAAAACTTCCTCATCAGGATCATGTGCTGAAACATACAGATATAACATATATCACTAGGATTATCATTTATGATTTGTTGCGGAGCCCATTACTACACAGTACTACATGTAACTAGGCATGCTGTTCAATTCGGTCTTAAATGTTAATTTTTTACATTGGTGGTACAAATACTAAAGAATTTGGTAACTTTTTGCTAAAAATGAATGTTCATGAAGATGTATTTCAAAGTGGTTGGAAGATCGGTTCCTGAAATATTTTATAAATCTTAGTAAAACCCTTTCAGTGATCAATTTTTACTTTTTCATTATGTCGATATACAATTGTGGTAAAAAGTATTGAAATATCTTAAAACATATTTCAAGATAATAAGGTTTTAGGCAATAGAGCTGTTGTTATCCTTCTGTGTCATGGTTCTGTATTGTCATGAAAACAAATCACTTAAGAATTTAGAAGTTACATATCATTATAAAGTCATGAAACACAAAACATAGTGCAATAAATTGTCTGGTCACTTTGTTTTTACATGATATGTATAAATGTACAAAATATGCATCAGACTTGATGTATCATTTTATATTGTTTTTAATTTACTGAATTCAAATCTTATTTGTGATAAAAATCCATAAGCAACAAAACAAAAAAAAAACTGTAAACATTCATTTTCTAGAAGTAACAATTTTATTGTTTTTCCTACCTATTGAAAGTAAAATGCTGAAATATAATTGTGCTAACTCCCAACTCACTTTATTGAATATAATTGTGCTAACTGCTGACTCACTTAATTGAATATAATTGTGCTAACTGCTGACTCACTTTATTGTTTATATAAGTAATTAGTACAGATGTGCAAATTCGTCACTGTACTAATTTGAGAAAAAGTTATCATGCGCTTAAATCCGATTATACTAAGTGAAGCATGTTTTTGATACTAGATACTGATACTCACCAACATGCACAACATCTGGTGGTCCGTGGAAGTAGGTACCAATGCCGTGACCTAGTATTTCAGGTACTACTGACAATCCTTCTGACTCAGCAACCTCACTTGAAAGACATTTCACAAATATCATTTAAAAAAGAGGATAATATCATGAACAATTTTTGAAAATCTATGATGTTTATCAAACTATAGTTAAAAAGACCTAGAATTCTGAAAGCATTGGTAAACAATTTGTTTTGAAAACATGCATTGTCAAATATGCAGAATTATTTCATGTATAAAAATGCTGATATTACAAACATACTGAATTTATTTCTAATAGAAAAAATTTCAAAAACTATAGATGATATTTGAATCAACTATCCACCACAGAGCTACATTTAATATTTTTTCAGGGGCTCTCCAATATCAATCACACATCAGCTGTCCAGACACTACAACCATCCATACCAATTCAATATCTTGTGCATACCTTATAGCATTTCCAATAACATTCATAGGCTGTCCTGGTCCACACACGCTAATACCAGCGTCCCGACATTTCCTGGCCACATTAACTAAATGTTTACCGTCATCGTCTACATCTCCAACTAGATAAGTTTCTGACACATCACCATGATATCCATCAAAAAATATCTGGAACAAAATGTTTGTAACATTTCTTAAAACGAATATTTTTTTTATAACCGAGATCAAAAGATCAGGGGCATATTGTTGTTGTAGTGTCTGCTTGTCTGTTGTCAAACTTTAACCTTTCCCATAACTATTGCATAAGAAGTTTGGCTTACATATTTGTCATGTGTGTTCCTTGTGGTAACACCTTACTGGTGGTACCAGAATGTTTGACCATGTGACCTTTGACCTACATTGGAAAGTTAAAGAACATCATTACCACAATGAACATATAAGTGTCTCACAAAGTGTGCATGCAATTAGCACATGCCTTACACTTTTGTTGCAACCAGGGATATAGTGTCTCATAAGCACATCTTGGTTTTGATAAAATCACCCACTGATAAATTAGTAGCTTCCCATTCCCTCCAACACCATATATTTTTTCTAATAAAAAAATTTAAGGATTTGCAATGAGGTGCTGGAGTCCAGGACAACGGAACCAGTAACACAAAACCTGAATTCACTACAATGTAAACATAGAAGAAAAATGTCTATAGCGTCTATAGCTAGACTACATTAAGTTTAGTTCCATACCAGAACTAGTCTTAACTAGACATATTGTAATTCTAGAAACCTTCCCTCAGAGTTAAAGTACAAATCACATGACTTTAAAAAGAATAGGAATAGAAACAATTGTTTCACCATGCAAAACGGCACAGCTAAACAATGGAACTTTGACTGATATAATTTTAAGATTTGGATGTGTTGAGAATATTTTTACTTACAGTCACATCAACATTGATGATATCGCCACTGTACAGAGGTCGGAGGTCAGGAATTCCATGGATCATTACATTGTTTACTGATGTGCATATAGACTTGTAATATAGGTTGTAGAAGAGAGGAGAAGGGTAACAATTATGTTCTATGCACATCTCATGGGCAAACTCATCCAGTTCATCTGTTGTCACGCCAGGCTATCAAACATAATCAATATTTAATAACCCTGTATAATTTCAAAGCACAATTGAGACAAAAAACCAAGGAATACTAATTAAGAATGCTGTATTTTGATTCTTTTTGTATATATTTCCTGTAACTGTTTAGTCAAATTATTCTGAAATTCGATTTACCTTTTTAACTTTGCAAGGAGTCAACTTCTGACTGATAAAAGTTAGCAAACATCAGAACAATTCGGACTAGAAACGGAATACCTCTCATATTTTTTTGACTGCCAACGTATCTGAATGATACTAAAGTCAGAAGAAAATGGTAAAGCATTCTTACAAAGATTGAAACACAATCTGGACAGTTAAAGGTACATACATGTATACACACAATCAACTGTAAGATATACATACATGTAAGACATAATACCTGCTACAACTAAAACAAGATTTACCTTAAACTGATTCAACTTATAAGCTTTTTAAACAAGATCTATATAGATTTTCTGTAAATCAATTATCATATGTTTATTTAAATGGTTAATTGAGGTTTCGGTTTCCATAAAAACATAAGTAGATAATTTTGTAGTTTTTTTTTTCATACACTGAAAAATTAGTTCCTGGTTGTTTTGAAGGAAACTTTTTTAAATTCTAGTTTGTGTGTAATATATCCCTTTAATATTGAATTTACAGGTTATCAAAGGTTACATTATATGAATGTAGGATTGCTTCAACCATATTTCAATGTTATATACATACACCATAACAAAACTTCTACTTACAATATGTATCTAGATCAGCACAAATCAAAATTTTAAAATACCAACTGGTATACACACACAGGCAGAAATTAAAAAAAATGCAAACCTTAATTTGTTCAGCAGTTGCATCCAGAATTTTTCTTGCAAGTTTACATGACCTTCTCATTTTTTTTAATTGTTCTTCATTTTTTAATTCCAGCTCTTTTTTTTCAATTGTAGGGTTTTGAACATAGGAAGGCATTGGTATACGATCTCTTGGAAAATCCCTCAGAGGTGTGCAGTCAGCTGGACGTACAAGTTTATACTTTCTTCTTGAATAATGGAACTTGGATACTTCTTTCTGTGGTGTTCCTGCTGATAATGTAAAGTTTTTTGAGCCATTACCAGCAAATCTCCTGTATAATGACAGCAGCCTCCCAACTACAATGAAAAAAGAAAACTGCAATTTTCATCTTTTCTCATATCTTTAAAGGAAGAGTTTATAGATCTACTAAGTGTTTAATTTTTATAACATTGTAACAGAGATGTACATGTGTATATAGCACATATCTTATTTACATATCTGGCTGTAACTTGTAATATGGATTTCATATTATAACTTGAAACAGTTTACATATATTTTGATATCATCCAAGGTAGGTCAAATTGTTATGGCATTCTATTAACCTTTTTCATGTGGATCTGGAATAAATACCATGGACTCTAGGATCCAGACTGACATAAAGAAAGTCCATAGAACGTCATAAATATATACTCCTTCACACTCCAGTCTCATAAGTCCTTCTGTTCATGTATTTGAAAATTATGCCATAACCTAAATGCACCTAGATGATACAGATAACTACTTGTTGGATTATTTGATTTGCGCTTGCAAAAGTTGTTCACCTTGGTCTTAAACTTCCACTCACTGACAACAGATTTGGGCACAAATTAAAAACTAGGTTCTTACGAGCATTGGATAGCTGCCAAGAAACAAGAGACAAACAAAACATTTTGAATCTGCAATTGTTAAGAGACTACCATCTCTGTTGTACCCGCATACTAAATGTGTTTTATGCGAGCAATCACCGGCTGCAATTCAGACTACTATGACCTAGTAACATACTAGCAGCAGGGAGCCATGACCTGTAGGGTATGTTGTGAATAGGTTACTTATCCACCGATGGCACGCTTATTCTTACTCCTAATCCCTTTCAGGATTCGTCCTTGGAACGCATTTATATCGGACGTTTGGTGGTGTTTTCTTTCCCGAAATTAAAAACCAATGTTTCTTGTTCTTTCTTGCGGCCTCGTCATAAAAAAAACTATTTAAAAAACATAGCGTATCTTGATAATGGACCATAAAAATGACGTCAAATAGACCTAAATGATCTTTGTGCTTTGTATTTTTCCCTATTCCATTTGATTTCCATTTTAATGTAAACCTACCTTTACTCCTCATGTTTTTTTCGTCTGGTAAAAGTTGGAATGAGCCGCTTAAGTAGATCAAAACAACTCGAAAAAGAAACTAGCTTCTTAACGATACCACGCTCGTTGTGACTAGTGCATACCGGATTACCAAATTTAGATAGTATGTTTCCTTTGTCATTTGTGTTGACAGAGTATCCCGATAGTCTTTTTCGATTGATAATCAATCGACTCTATTTCTAACATCTTGAGCGACACATTCAAACTTTTCGTAGCCGGCTAAAAGACCTACATATCCTTTGCGATATTTTTCGTAAATCTTTACCGTGTGGGGTAAGTGGTGAATTTGGAAACGCTAATTTTATATAAGGGATCGTTGATCTTCTTTTGTTTTTGAAATATACTTGGAAGTTTAGTAATCATAAAATTTCATTATATACATAAGTCAATTGCAAAGTACTGAATTGTTGTTACTGTAAGTGTTGGCCAATCAGATTTTTCCACATCAGCTCTGTCATTCTTCTTACAATGTTAACGTGTCTATTGTTGCCAGGATGAATGTAACTGACAATGAAAAACAATGAAAGCACGAGTCCTAATACAACCGGCACTAATCAATTAACCATAATGATGACGATCTTTTTTTTTATAACTTTTAGACAAAAAAGAATATTAGAGTTATTTCCCCTATAATAGTGTTAGGAAATTCGACGCTCAGCAGGGACACAAATAATTAAAATAACAAAGAAAATTGTATAGTTTCTTTGATTTTATCAAAAAGAATTAACAGTGTTTAAATATGAAGTCGTATACATGGAATTGATTCCTCCTACAAACATAGATTTTCCCAATTTTACTTCTATAGAAAGGCTCCATTCTGATCATGATCAAGACTTCTTTAACAGTATGATTTGTTTATGTTATGTGAAACAATATAGCTGCAATGTTATAGCTCTGACAAGTCTAATATTACAATCCCATTGTAATGTGATGTCCATTTGCATTAGGAGGATACTGGGCATTTGTATTTATATAGTACTTGTGAAACTAAAATGATTTGATTAAAAAGTTTTATTTAATTATTAACATCCTTCATAGACATCAAATTGACAGATCACATCATCATCATCATCATCATCATCATCATCATCATCATCATCATCATCATCATCATCATCATCATCATCATCATCATCATCATCATCATCATCATCATCCAGTGAGATTTATTCATTGCTATACATTTTAATTACTGGGCTTTTGTTTTAGGTAATATTGTCAGAAAATGGATCTGCACATTTCTTGGACTTTTCTCATCCCTCTGATGCTCATACTAACAGAGGCAAAAAAGGACAAGGAGTTGTATTGTGCAGGTAGATATCCAATGATATTTTGATATGATGTATAGAGACAAGTGAATATATTGAAGCCAAGTTGTTTTTATTGAAGACTTAGTCCTGTAATATATGCCTTGGACGGTTCATATCATGAATTTTAGTATTTACAATTTGATATTTAATATGTGCATGTTGTAGTCAACCTTAGAGGTTTGACAATAACATAGATATCCAATCATAAACTTCAGATTAATGACATGGACCTAATTCAAATGCATATATTATTAGATGAGGTGTAGACTTATTCAAAGATGTTGTTTACTTTTATACTAATATATAGTATATGCATGTGCATGATCTTGAAAAAAATAAGTGATCACAGTAGCCGAGTGGCCAAGGTGTTTGACTGCTTTTATTACTAGCCAACCATCTCTGGGCTGTGGGTTTGAGGCCTGTATGAGACAGTTACCAGGAGCCAGCAACAGGGACTCTGGCTTTCCTCTACCATCCGAACTTGGCATGACCTTAAATGACCCTGGCTGTTAATAGGATGAAGAGCAATGATAAACCAAATTTTAAAAATAAAAGCTAAATTTTCACACATTGAAGCATCATGGATATGGGCTTTGAAGTGTAAAAATACAACAATTGTAGTATTCATATGCAATGGTTTGCATTCAGTTTGCAGAGCCTTGGTGGATGAAGTAAACTTTAGTATCGGTGAAGTTGATCCAAAGAAAATGGTACAAGTTGGAAGTTTTAGAATTGATGGAAAAGGAAATCAATTGACAAAACAGGTAAGCAGCATTTTATACACCTTATAGTTTGAATACAGTCCATCTGGAATTTCATTCTCTACAACAAATATTGGTTGGCTGTGAAAAAGAGGCTAAAATATTATTATACCTAATAAGTATATTAACATTATGTTTGTTGAACAAAAGTTGATATATTATATCACTTGATCACCTTGTAATAGTTGCTATTTATAAATTATCATTTCAACAAAATGTTGTCTCCTTAAGATTATGTAAACACTTTCTAAACCACTTTTCATGCTATCTTCTTAGGCTGTATCATAAACTTGTTAAGAGGCGAACTTTTTACCATTTTGCATGAGATTATGAGTCAATTGTCTTAAATCTTCCGTTTAAATTCTTTTTTATATACTAATGCACCGCTAAGAATTAGTTCTTGGTTGCTTTGAGGGGAATTTTCTTATTATTTACTTCAGTAAACATGATCATTATTATGTTATTACAGAAACTCTAGAAATTAAAAGATTGTAAAAATTTATAAAGAGTGCTTCCAAGTAATTTTTATTTCAATCAGACTTGTGATTATAAGTCCGTGATTCAATCCAGAATTTAAAAGGTCAAAACTGTCTTACCAAGTGTTTTAAAAAAATAAAAAAAAACATATGTCTTACCTAAACTTGTCACATTTCCTTTATCACATATCTCTGAATGTAAAAAGCTGGATACAATAAAGTGAAATTGATTATACAAATTTATCTCCCTTTATCTGTACATGTACCTGGGAAGTGTTGAGTATTAACTGACTTTTTTTTTGTAAATTTGCTAGCTTGGCTTTTCTGATGTTATAATGTGGTAATTAAGATTTATTGTTTTGTACTTAAATTAAAGACTTTAAAGGATACAAAATTGCGATACCCTTAAGCTGCCATCAATGAAATTAAAATCCAGATTATCTTTGTAATGTAAAAATATTGTTTTTAAATGTTTATTACTTAAACTATCAATGTTAACGATTGCAGGTTCCGTTAGCTAGATCAGAGTTACACCTGACCGAGTTATTAGAAGGGGTTTGTGAAAGATTCAAGGACTATGCGGAAACTACTAATAGTGAAGGAAAGAAAAGTGTTGTAAGAACGTCATCAAGAAAGGGGAAACCTGTATCACTTCATAATATATCTATCAGCTCCGAAAAACAGAAACTTATCCGCTTTGCTGTAAGTAATTGTGCACACACATGGTTTAGAATTTGCGTTAATTTGCAAAATAAGTAGATGATTTGTAGAATTAGGTGATATTTTCTTAAAAATGAATTTACATGGATGTGTTCTGATCAAAAGAATGAATGCCGAGAATTAATGTTTTACAATTAAATCATTCATGCATCACTTGCTATTTGATTTAGACAAATCGTGGTATAGTTTGATTTATGATTGACCTTCAGAACTGGTAGCCTTTCAAGAAAACATTATCTTGTACCCACAGACAAAGTTAAGTTATACAAATATTGGTCACACAAGCTGCATGAATTGTACCGAAAAAAAAAAAAAAATTTATGATGTAGCCATTCAAAGGCTGAAATAATTCATGCAGTTGTGACAGAAATGGGTTTTATTATCGACATGTATGTCATTCAAAGTCTTTAAAATGATAAAAAAAATACCAGTACACTGTATGCCTGATAAAAATCTGGTGCTTTTTTTTGGTATTATCTATATCTGCTAGTGACAAATTTAAATGTGTGCTTAGTTCATGTACATACACCTTGTTTATCAATGTAGTCTTGTTATTTATTTGCTATGATTACTTCTTATTGTTATTAATTATCAGTGTAAATTTGCAGGGCTCTCACACCCCATTTTGGGACTGGGGCCTGGCAGATAGAGAGCCCTGATTTGTATAGGGCTTAGCTCATATCATATGTTCATTGCAATGATTATTTTTCTGTTCTAAATTCAGGTGTTACTCTGAAAATACAAAGAGAGAAACTATTGTTTATTCAAATTGTTTTTTACTAATTTGTGACAGAGGTTATGGAATTTACATGTATTGCTCGGAATGACTTACATTGTTAAAAATGATAAGTTGTTTTTTCCTGTGATTTTATTTATAATAATAAGTGACATTTGAGATTTTTGTTTTATTTTTGTTTGTAGTGTGATACAATACTAGAGGATCATGAAGAAGAAATAATGGCAGCTTTCCAAAAGTACACAGAGCCATCTGATACAGAAGAGAAAGTTTGTAGGGAACTGGCAAGTAAGTCTCAAAAATCCCATTCAACTATTTTATTTGCTAAGCAATCATGACAACAATTTGTACAGCAGTTCCAACAACAAATATAATTGTGTTTTATTTATCACAAATTGTGAAACTCAAGTTTGATGAATCAGTCATGAAACACTTTCTGTTACTAATATATTTTGAAAGGCAATGAACGATTTTTGCTGAAATTTCAAAGGAAGGTTCCCTTGGGTCCCTTATTGTGCCTTTTTGATTTTAGGATTGATTGATCAAAAAGCATATTTGACTATGAAAATCATGATTACTATTTCATTATATAAGAAGGATGGACCTTTCCCTTACCTCATATATGTAGACTTCCATTTGTCCACGGCTGCACTCTTTTAATTTTGAGAGTGTTAAAAAAAAAAAAAAATGAAGAAATGGTTGCCATGCGACCATCTTTGATTTGACTATTGGTTGCTTTCCTTTGAGTAGAATTTTCAAACGCTATATACCTAACAGCAAAAACAGAGGGAAGAAAAGTAAAGAAGTGATGATATCCAGTTTTTAAAGAAAGAATAAGCCTCAAGCAATGATGGGCGCCAAGATCAGCTGGGGATCTCTTCTTTATAATGTCACCCAAATGTCAGTTATTTTGAAGGGATCAGACAACAGCGAATCTTTGGTGCCACACAGAAATGCCGACAATTTCATTTTACCAAACCCAATTGTGGCAGAGGTGATACAAGATTTTGAAGTTGATTTTTTCTTGTAATTTTTATAATTTTTTTATATTTTTACCACATTTCCTTACCTCCATCTGATTTAAATGAACAATTTTTCTTTCCAGTGAAGTATTCACTCAAATGTCAATTTATGTATGTCTTCCAGACCTCTGTACAGAAGCTGATCTGAAAGTGTCAATGCCTTCTTCTGAAATGACAGCAGAAGATGAAGCAGCAATGGAAAATGATAGTGATAGTGATGATACAGACATTGAGGATGGGGATGACGTAGACTCTGAGAATGAGGTCTCTCCGTCTCAGGAGCCTGCCGATGATGAGGAGGAATATGTTACCATGACAAATCAGAATGCAGGGACAGAACAGAAGACTGAGAAAGAGGAGCTATGATGAAAATCTTTCCATTTATAGTGTTATTTCTGTGTGTGTTAATCAACATGTACCTACCATATGTCGAGATTTTTTTAATAAGCATGTAGATCACCTGTTCTGAACTTAGAAACATAAATAGGCAATCAACAACTGTTATCAGTTCTTTGGTCAGTGGCTGTCATTCTACAGAAATACTGAGGGTCAGTCAGATTAAAAAGTGGCGATTCCCAGTATATCTAGCATTCCTCTGTATTGCCAAGGACTGACAATAACTAAAGAATCTTTTTTTTCTCCAAGGAAATTTCTCATCGTCAATGAATGTTAATGAAATAATAGAGATTTTTTTTTCATTTATCTTGCTTCGTTGATAAGTTGTAGGATGTAATTTCAAGATGAAAAAAAAGTTGTGCTTTATCTGCATAGTGAGTAACTGTCGCTACAAACATAAATATAAGGAAATATGTCTCAGAGCACATTCACAACATCCTTAGTGCTTAAATTGCTGTTTGTAGTAATGTGTTGTGCGATATTGAAGCACAGATGGCTACACTTGTATGAAAGCAATCCAATGGAATGTGTAAATTTTTATGATGTTGATATCTAACATGATGCATTGGTTTATGATATTCAAACGAGCATATAAGAAACATTTTTTTTTGGTGAAATTTTCTAGAAAAAATTGCCTTCTAGACACAAGTATTCAAGAAAATTTTGTAAAGATCTTGTAAATCAGACATAATAATGTGTTTTAACAGTAACTTCTTTTTTTTTTTTTTTTTTTTTTTTGTAGCTGTTAGTTGTAGTGCTAAACCATTCTCCGCTTCTCTCAGTTGTCAAGCGTTTAATAAACGTTACGAAGGGAAATAACTCTTGGAGATCAGATTGCACTAAACATATATATATAATATTTATATATCTGATACAGTTGAGGCATGTATAGATGAATACTTTATGAACGTAATAACATTGATGGGCTTTAAAATGAAAGCTTGAGTCAAAGTACAGTGTATGTTTGTCATTTAAATGGAATTCAAGAATGAATTATTGCAAACCTGTTTCATTTACATTTTGAGATGAATCTTTATATGTATGTATATGTATGTATACATTTACATTGTATTATATTTATGTTTTATTACATGTTCAGGGAAAACAATTTACATGAAGATAGATATGTGCACTGGAAATACACCCATATGATGAACATAAGTACAGAGTGAGAAAAAATTCATATAACACATTAAATGATTAAAAAGCTTAGATATTAACACTAGTATGTGATTCTTTGAGATATTTTCTGATTTTTAATTCAAGTGGATAAAAGACTTGTTTTGTTTTTCAAGTTTATTTCCTAGTTGTCCTCTTATTTTGTCTTCTGTTCGAAATCCACAAAGGTTGAAATAATAAAGTATTAAACTCATAAAATTTATTTTCATTTCTTAAAATCACTATATTTTTCTGTCATTACTCATTTTAAAGATCATAACAGTGTATGAAAAATTACAACTATTTTATTTGAAATGAATTTTCAAAAAGGGAAAAGCAAAGAAAATTGCTTGTTTTCAAAGACAGTAACACTACATGATGATTAATGACAGATTATTTTGAAACTGTGATTTGAGAAGTTCATTTTTATTTTCTACTGTAAGGAAGATATGACCTTGTATTTAATAATGCATTTAGGTGAAATGGCTTTCCTTCTTGACAATTAAGTCAAAAAGCTTTACCAAGTCCTTTGTCAAATGACATATGTGTAAGAATCGTTGGATAAGTTCTTTGTCGAATGTACAGGTCAGTATCCCTTCTGACTGGCAGGTTTCCAGCGGATTTTTGTAGTCACAAATTAGTAGTCAGCAGACAAAGTCTCTTACGGATGTCCAAGTTGATAGTTTTTGGGACATAACAAAAATTAATGATAAAGAGCTATCACAACAACCCAAGTACATTCTATACTTATCTTAATAAACAACCAACACTAGATTTACAGGTAAAACCTCACTATATCAACAGATGTTTATCAGAAATTTTCTCCACAGAGGATAAACTATTGTAACAGTGATGAATTGTTACCTAATTTTTCACCAAATTGGTGTCATGTAAATAGAATCATTTTCTAACTGGTCACATTTTCCCTTGTGGTTGATATGTATATACATGTATATATGTTGACTGATGAAATCTAGCATGTAATGAAACATTTTGAAGTGTCGATCATCCCATACTTTAACTACTTATGTATCGGTTGAAATGATGTGCGATGCCCTTAACTTTATTTATTAAGACTTATTTTCTGAATAAAATGTCTGAGAGTTAATAATCTTTGTGTTTTGTTTTATTTATGGAAATAAGAACCCAATTTGACTGCAAAAGATGAGTTTCTGGTTGACAATGTTTTTGTTGAGTTCAATTTGATGGGAAGACCAAGTTAGAAAAAATATCCTGGCAGACTTGCTTCTTAATTTTTTAATTTTTTTTTTATAAAGTTAAATTTTTAGGAGAGTTTATCAAAGAATTAATCTTACCAAGCTCCTTAATATCACTTTTACACGTAGTTACCCCATTGAGAGTTTTCAAAGTTTTCCTTTTCTTGACAGTAACAGTCCACTTTCCTAAAAACACCGTGTTTTCATATCGCAGTTGACTTTGTTTATAATATCACAATTTCCACAAGAGGTGGACAACTGACAGATACACACTCAAAACTAGGTTTAAAGATATGCAGGTTCCTTATTTGTTTACCTTGTTCTCATTTTTGGAACGTGGCATTACATTACACATTGCACTTCAAGGATTGGTCGTGGTCGTGGATGAAGAAGACGCTTACTGTTGCGGAATACATGGTATTATTATCCTTGTACTTTTCCTGTGTCTCCGTGTAAATATTTCATTTCCTATTTTATTGGAATAAAATAATATATGCAATTTCGTCTTCAATCCAGGACTGCTACATATTGTAACGAATTTCTTCAGTGTTATTTCCTTTAATTTTCATGAACTGTATTTAGAAATATATTGTATGAAATGCTGACATAGATTTCTGTTCGTTTGACTTTTGGGATGGCTTATGAAAATTATACACATATCAAGCGTATACTTTGTCGTCTGGATCAATAATATTTAGATACATGTAGGTTACCTTCAGTTTCATTAGATCTATTTTCAAGTAAATAAGTATGAAACATACATCGTAATCAAACGCATAGTCTAAATCTTCTGTAACAGAGGTCATTATTCATTTTCCGCTAGAAATCGAGCCCGGGACCCCTGGCTTACTAGTCCGACGCTCAACCAATCTGGCTAGTGAAAACTTCTCTCTAGCCGAGTGGTATATTGCGGTTAGTATTGTAACAGAGTTACACTTCTGTGACTTTTTTTATCTTTCTGATAAGTGATTTTTCATATACTGTATCGATGTGGTTTTGACAAGTCGATCTGATCAGAAAAGATGTTGAAATTGGAGATATTTTTTTCCATGGCGTTAAACACTGCATCATTCAGTATACAATAGTCAGGTATCTTACTTGAGCGGCGCGATCTGGGTGGTAGTGCTATTTAGATTATGGTGTAACAAAATTTGAAAAAAACCGAAGTCATGACCAAACCGCTTTAATAACGCAGACCATTTTGTATGAAACACTTCATCTTCATTGCAGTTATTTCCCTTTCCTATCAGATTCAGTATTATATACAATGTGTCTTTTTTCATAAACAGACACTTTCTAATGATATGTGGAAGACTTAATCGGCATCAAAAATATTTCCACTTAATCATCTATACTAGATATAATGTCGTGTATATTTTTGTTCCGCGAAAAGTGTTAGTCACGTGTTCAGTGGTTAACAAAGCAAGCATCATTTAAAATATATATTTCCACTTCTTACTTTTCTTTATTCGCAATATTACGAGTTCTGTGATAGGTTTTTACAACAGATAGTTTCTGACAGCCGGTATTTGTTATTGTTTTACATTGAGACGTACCGAAAGTCTATCTCTCAAACTTGAATTGTATGTTTTCCCATGGTCTCTAGCTGTGTCCGTTTCATTCCGAGACTGATCACTGAAACAAAATGGCCGACAGACGGCCATCTTATATTTTGACAATTGAAGTTGGATATTCGTCTTTCTCAGAAAGTTGTTAAATCAGTCAGGACTTCATATTTAAGACTTTTTGATCAAAAGGAGAAAGGTATAAAGAGATCAATCATGCTTAGAACCAAATACTGAAGATCAATGATGAGCGCCTCTTGGCTTTTGTCTTGTGTATGATTTTTAAAAGGCAACGATCGGATTTTGTTTTCAAAATATGTCCTGGAAGACAATCAGAACATCTGTATGATATCAATATACACTCCAATTAAAACAAATCACACATCTGCTGTGTCTCGAAAAATGTAGATGCTATTTTCATGGTTGACAAAGTTGTCCTGTACGGAAGCGTATTGCGGCCACGTTGTGTTTTATTTTATCTCGAAATTTCGAGATAGGAACGCGAAATTTTGAGATAGCAACTCGAAATTTCGAGATAACAACTCGAAATATCGACTTACTTACTCAAAATTTCAGATTACTTACTCGAAATTTCGAGTTAAAACAAAAAACAACGTGGCCGGAATACGCGTCCGTAGTCCTGAGATTTGCAGCGCTGGCCTATACAAATTGGTCTGCTCCTTGAATTGGTACATGTACAGGTACGTTTTGGAATGATGTGGATGAGTCGTGTCGCGCACTGTTCAATAACCAATCATTAGACAACACGTGCATGTGTATCCTGTGACCTTTATCATCAGAACATTGATTGTAGACATATATACAGGGTTCGTTAGCTGTGTGTATCTCAAGTCGTTAACAGAAACGTAACACTGATTAAAATCAAACACTACCTTTATGACACCTTTTAATCGCTAATATTACATGAATGGACTTGATTGATTAATAAACGAAAACAAAGATCGTGACATTGTGTGCAAACTGACACTAATATCATCGCACTAATCAAATAATGCTACGAGGCATTAGCACCTTCAGATTACTTCCATCCCATAATCGATCGACACACACATTCTATTACGGAATCGCACGTGAAATTCACATCTTTATTGAAAAAGAATTCCCGTTAGTGAATACAGAATGTACTCAAACGTATTTTTTTACCTTGTGAAACCAATACCGCAGTGAGCAATACAATACTTTCAGGAGAAAAGAAAGAAAGAAATGAAACACTCCACTGGAAAAATATTTTATTGACGTTTATTGTCCCAGTTTCCAACTAAGCAGACGGAATTTATTCAACAGGTCCTGGTATTGCCCCTGGAATGTCCCAAAGCTCTTGTATGATGAATGGTATGGTCGAAGGAACGACTTCTGCAAGGAAACAATGTTAATGTGACTATGACATGAACTCATATTGAAACATGCTTACAATGTAGCATATAAATCCACATTGAATATATAGAATTTAGCCCAAGAACCAAATTGTTGAATTTAACTGGCTGTTATTTACAGCACCTTGAGTGTACGACAAGGCTCACTATTTCGTCAAAAAAACTATTACAACAGTAATAAACACTATCACATGGTATTGTTTTTTTAAAAGTAGGTAATGTTGCAAATTATTATCAGAATCGTACATTTAAGTAAGATTTTTTTTCAAAATAAAAAAAAAGTTATACATTTTCGGTCATGAAACATATCAAAAGGATTAGGCACATTTTTTCACGGAACAGATACAACTACTTCCGGTTCTGGTACACCAAAACGTTTGATAGATATTTTTTTTTTATAAAAAGAGAGTGCAACTAGAAAACGCTCATGGATTTACTTCATAGATTGAAACTGGCTTCATTTTAGTTCGGCGGGACCATGGGGAACTTTGAGATAACCTAGTATTCGATTTAAGTGAGTTCAAATGTTTTGTATCAGTTAGGCAGGGGACGACGAAATGTTTAGAATTTGATGGGGTCTTCGAATTGGCCGAGTTCGAGATAACGAAGGATAAGTACACAAGAAAGCGTGACAACCTACTCTTCAAATACGTATTCCAACTATATCTACTCTGTTGTACTAGCTACTCACATGTGTGTTCACCTGTGGTTTACGTAGCACGGGCATCACGTGATGACCGGAAGTAGTGATCGTGTGTGGTCTTTGGAAATCTACATCATATATTCGCTGTCCACCAGCTCGTTGCCTGTGGTCAGGCATTTCTTTTGTACCGTGAAGAATTAGTTTTACAGCTTGGACCTCCCCGTAGTTACTACCACTCTTCTGTCAACAGCGAAACATACATGCATATAATTGCGTGATTTGGATATTTTCTAATATGGTGTTAAACGAGATAACTTCTATAACTTCATGATGAACAGTAATAAAAATTTAAATTCCAAAGAGACTCTACAGCCATCAAGCAGTTCTCGCACTGATTATTTCTTTTTATTTAATGATATATGTACCATTGAACTGAAGACCCTAATTAGAGCGAGAGCAATCAGTTTCACCATGTAACATACAGATCGGATTTTGCTATTGTACCTCATCCTTAATGGTCAGTTTCCAGTGTCCAGCAGGATTCTCTCCCCATGACTGCACGGACATAAATGTCCAGTTCTGGAACCCTGCAGATGACCCATCCATCGACCTTTCGGATAGCAACATCGTTTTTATACCTACAATTTTATATAAAGATATACCATGATAATCAATGTTGCATTTTCCTCTTGACTCTCTTATAAAATATATTTATATTTGTGACATAATGTTATTTGTGATGTTATGTGGACATGTCCTGGTTATGTCAGATATTTACATCGGCCAGACAAGTGTTATTTATTTAATTTTGTACTTTTAATGTATCAAAAATTTAAATAATTATATATTATGTCTTTTTTTTTTAATTTTAAATCATATAAGTGGAATAAATTAACTGTATTCATTCAAAGCCTTACTCTAATCTAGCACTTGCATATAAAACATGCCCATTAGATCTGACTTGATATACACACTTTTGATAGGTTTGATTTCATCATGAAGGACAATTAAACATGTATTTAGTATAGGGGCTAGACTCATTGTCAGCAGAGAAGATATTTCCAAGGGAAAACATCAGGGTTTTGGAGAGAAGGTTTTTATACAAAGAATTGAATTATTTGAGAAAATTTAGAAGACAGGGAAAACCAGGTATATGTCATGTGTAAGGAATATAGAACCTGTGTATCACATATAGGGATATTGTCAAATGGATTACTCATCTGAAAAAAAATATTCAGGAACCAAGTTGTGATAATGTTTTCGTTTCAACCCTATAACATATTCAACCTCCGTGGTATTAAGCATCTGAGGGCCTTGCTATATCTATATCAAACTTTCACAAAACTTGGAACAATTTCAACAATGTATTTCTCCCGATAAGTATTTCTGGTTTTGTTGGGCTTTCCAGTGTAGAAGGATACCATGCCACAATAACATAACCATCTCTTGCATAAATTCATAGTCCACATTGTATTCTCTAAAGGAAAAGGGGTTCCTACCGTTCTGGATACTTATCAAATTCATATTTTTACTGGTAATATGGAGCGAGGAGATTTATTGCTATTGGTATAATTCCTGATAAAACCGTAACCAATTGATTTAAAAACTTGAAAAGAAATACCGATATCACATGTTTCCCGTAAATCCCATATTTGATTACTTTAATTAGTCAACATCGAAATATAAGATTACAATTTAACTAAATTTTAGAATTTACACAAAGACTGCATTTAAGAAATAAACTTGTAAAACTCCACAGCCATAGCGAATCGAGCTTTTAAAAAACTTTATTAATTACTCTTGTTGGCACAGATGGAAGCGCATGAGGGGTCTTCCTGTGGGAGGAAACCGGAGTGCCCGGGGAAAATTACATGGCGGTTAGCCCCAGATCTTTTCGCGTTCTTCCCGGGAATCGAACCCCGAACGCCGAAGTGAAAGGTCAGTGCGTGTCCATTACTTTGGTTACATTAGCAAGCATGCTTTTTCCTAAGTTCATTTTAACTTCTAGTAGATATCATACAGACGGACAAGTTCTTAAGCTTGCGGCCTATTACTTGCCCATATATTATTATCTAACATAGATAAGATATTTCCACCTTTAAAACAATACACATACAAAGAAATAGATTTTTGAAAAAGGCAATTACCGCTTGGCGAAGTAAGACTTATATGTAGAGCCCCTCTCTTGGAATAGTCCATCGTTATCTGCATCTGAATATGTTCCAAGAAGTTTATCTCATTGCCCTGTCCACTACAACCGCTGCTGGTCAAGTCGATGTCCAGTTTATGGCCACTAGAAAGTCTCCTGGAAATAAACATTATGTATCGGTTCAAAGCCTTCTACATATTTTCCTACATGTAAAATGTTACACTTTCTAATTAAAAAAAAAAAAAAAAATAGCAATTAATTTCATAGACATCGGAATCTAGAGGTTTTCGGAAAATAATATACAGTTATTGACTGGGTTGAGGGCAACAGATGATCTGTTGAACCCGAAGGCAAAATGTTCGGCCAGTTTGCTGAGAGTCCAACAGGTTGTCTGTTGCCCGAAACCCCAGCCAATAACTGTTTTGCTATATCCTTCACAAATATGACGTAATAGTACTACAACACAAACTATATTTTTACGAAGAGCACAATAAAATTTCCGGAGCAAATAATTAAGATTCTCAATTGAATAGCCTGTAATGAGTGGCAGAGACAGATCGAATGTCGGCAAGAAATCGCTGAGGATATTTTCGGCAGTCTTAACAACATTCTTGGTATTTCTGCTGTCACGATCGTCTAAGATCGCTGTATTTTCTCCTCCGATGCCAGACCGAATCTGTCTGCGTCACTAGGCCTACTGGTTGCGAATTTGTTGTGCAGGCAATAAGAGACGATAACCATTTGGACCGGTGAACAAAACAGTTAAACTTTTGACATTTCTTTCTCTTTATAGATATATAGGAACTGAATCTGCAGGGTATAACAAAGTTAAATGTATTAATTACTATAGTAAACACGGTATTGTCTTTATGTGATATGAATAATGTATAATTACTACAGAAGATATGACTACAGTTTTGTGACAGGGAATAGTTAGTTTGAATTTTGAATGTCATTAGAATTTATAAATGCAAAGATTATTTAAAGAAGCAGAGAATCATGTAGCAAAGGGTATGTCAGCTATTCAATATAAGATAAATGGAAACCTCGACCAAATATACTGATAAGCAATATCATCTTAAAAACGAAACTGTAGAACAGGTTCATTCCAAAGCCTGTCATGGCATTTGGTACTTTAAGATTAAAACATTTTATTTTCCTTCTTCCAAATGAGATATTTATTATAATTGTTTCTTTTGTTTACGAATTTGAATTTCAAAAAAAAACTTTTGACTTACTGCGGTAAATTTGAAGTTGAATCCGAATGTACCGTGCAGATATATTTTGGCGGAACTGTTTTCCAGGTGCGAGGATTACCCTCCTGTACCAAGCTAGCGGCGTTCAACAGTCCGAACCCAAATGCATTATTCACCCAGTATCCGGCTCCGTTTCTCTTCCATCCGGAATTGTTTCGTAGTGGCGAGTATTCAGATGTCCATGCTACCAAATGCTGCATATCTCTCCAAGTCAAATTTGGACTGAAACGGGAGAAAACACGAAAGTAGTTTGTGAAGAAAAGTAATAATAATAATTAAAAAAATGATAATAATGATAATAAATTTTGATGAAGAGTTAGTCTGCTAATGGTCAAACACTGGCATACATGTACATTGTACATACCATTACAAAAGTCATTTAAACAGACAGCAAAGGAAAGTACATATATGCACTTATACTGAAACAGATTGCCCGAGAACCTTAAAGGTTGTTTGATCTTAATGGATCGGATGATACTAAAATTAATGGCATACTACTGTAAAACTGACTTCATTTAATGGATTACAAATAGAGGCGCACATTCGCTCATGATTTATGCTCATAAGTAGGAATTATGTAATATTATGAAACTGCACCACAAAAGGGATTTGTTAGAGCACATAAAAGTTGTCTTCTAATGGTGATTGAGGAACTGAGAAAAGAGCGGAAAACCTAGTGCTATCAGACAAACTTAAAATGTTATGAAAATTGTGTTTGAATAAAATCGGAAATAAATCCGACCGATAAATAAACAATTAAAAATAATTAACAAAACATAGATTAATATATATGTTTGTACATGTATATGTTCTGAAACCTTCCCACTATTCGAATTGTAACTTAGAATCAAAGCAGTATATTTAAGATGATCACATACAACAGAAGATGATACTAAGGCATGCATAACTACAAATCAGTTTTCTTCCCCAGCAAATCACAAATAATTCAAAGAAAGTCTTCATACTTGGCTTCTAGGACCAGGGCGAAGATCCCAGCCGCCAATGGAGCGGCAGCAGAAGTGCCCGTATGTTGTACTGTACAGCCGCCATGGAGGTCGGCACTGGCCTGTCAAAAGAATAGAAACGGAAGGCTGAAAAAGGAACACAATATCCGAAAAGAACAGTATCCTTGCTTTAAGCAATCTCATTTCCCGCGGAATCAGCAACACAGAACAACCCAGATTCCAATATTTACTTAATATTCTATTGTATACGAACTATTTTGATTTGCAAAAACCTTCTGCAATGGATAAAACAGTTTTTAAAATTTTCATCAAATTGTTTGATTTGAAATACGATAGTCTTTAAGACTTAATATTTGTATAGCGACAAATGTGCTGGGTATGTAGAATGACATTGAGAAGGGATGGGATGTGTTACCTATGTTATTCATCGATGGTAACGTGATGAAAAAATCATTAAGAAGGGTCGAATTCGTTCCAAATGGCATCTTGAAGATTCCAACTGTCAGCAATAACATACTAGTCACATTGTATGATAGAGAAAATAAGATTTTAAAAAGGTTCAATTGTGAGATCCCTATTGTGTCTTTTAAAAGTAGCGAAATATCAAGATTGCTCTCCAAAGAGTGGTATTTAAGGTGTCATATTTACTGTAGGTGAGTTAGTTTTACAATATGAAAGGATGAAATATTTGTGAGGTAAAATGTACTAATATGACACTCTGAAGGGTGAATAATTTAATATCATACAAGGAAAACGTTTAGTGTAATTAGATATGTTACACATATCGCATTTAGAGGTACTGATATCGTAGGTATGGCTGTATGAATAAGTCATTTGATCAAGATATCAAATTGCATACACATCGGTTTGAAAATTTTAACAATGAATAAATCATACCACGCGCTCGTCACCGTAAGCGCCACTGGAGTATGTCGTTGCCATGGTTGAAGCACATTTTTCGGCGTACCAAGGGGTCATCTGGTGCTGAGAAGCACTGCTGATAGAGAGTGAGTATATACTTCCGGTGTAACCGTCACAGTCACAATTGTCTTGTAAACGGCCGCCATTTCCGGAAGCCCAAACATAGATGACACCTTTTCCATTACGGCCCTGTAAAGATATTTGGTAGCTGTTTTGCGTAAAATGAATTCATTTAACAAATATGTTGCTGAAACTTTGGAATTTTAAAGAATTCATTAGTTGTACAACACGGTATCAAGTGATAGAGATCATCGAGAGTCCGATTATACAAAATAAGTATCAATGTGTAAGGAAGAAAATTGAACCTCTTAACACATTATTAAAACTCCATTAGAAATCAAATGTGGACATTTTCTTGTGATTTGTTTAATAGATCAAATGATACGTAACGTAAATTCCCTTCCCCGATTTTACGAGATTGATAGACAAAACGTATTGCAAGGCTTAGATTATGTATGGCTGTTTTGAAAGTAATTTTCGAAGATTTTAACCGGTAGATCTTTGGTTACAGGTCCCTTCTCAAATGGTTGTATCGTTCGACATGAATAAGTAGAGACTGATCGTAAAAAAGGACACCTACAACGACATCACAAGATGGATGAATGTTCTTATTGGAAGAGTACGAGGAGAGGCCACAAACCTTCACCTTTACACATCAATGTACTTTTACAGCAAGTCTTTTCTTTAGTCGGCTAATTGATTTATAACATAAATAGTAGTGTCTTGCCTTGTAATTCACACGGGAGTCAAGACAATTTAGCTTAAACTTCCATAGACTAATTTTAACGCAGTATGAAAGGTTAAAAATTGATACTGACCTCTTTGATACCAAGTTCGAATGCTTTCTGCGCCATTCTGCCCGGTCCTTCCACTGTAGCTCCGTCATCATTTGGTCCCCATGATGCACTGTAGATGTCAATGTATTTGTGGTTGAATGCTATGGCTTCTCCCTCCAGACTGTCTGTTACTCTACCATCTAACATTCGTACTCCTGTTAATGGGTAATATTAAACGTATTCCGTATAATCACTGTAATATATATTACCAATAACATCCAAGTACGCTGGCTTTATTTCACGATTGTTCTTTGCAAGTTAAGTAAATACTGTAGTAAAAATATAGCGGGAAGCAGTTTATAAAAATCAAGAAGCAATACAGTATATTTGTTATGATTACTGTGATTGTCCCTCCAATGATTACAATTTATTTTCGTAATAATCAAGACGGAGATTAAAGACGTAATATAATAAAGCTATCTTTGTCTCGGGCGTTGTCCGTTTCTCTCCAGCACAAGAACATCAAATTTCGATGTATCTTATTAACAAATATAGATACCCAATGACCTATTTGTTGGTAGATATTTTTTTTTTTTTTTGTTCATCAATTTATTTTTTATAAGATATTGTTGAAATAGTATGTACATGGGTACCGCCGTTTTTATTCTTTTTATCATTATACTTTTATATTTAGATTTTTTTTTATATTTTATTGATCATCTTCCATAATCCACACCTGTTGTATCTATTACTTGATTCAGCTTTGTTAAAGGATCAAAGGATTCAACATATAACAAATATGTATAAATAGAGCTGCAGTTAGATGAACTTTCATACATGAAGTTTTCCTGGCCATTATCTATTCGCAACCTCTTGAGCCACCTCTCGTGTTAAAACATAAGGGTAAGTTATTTTTTTTACCAATTCTATCGTAATATTGTGATGTCAGGGGCGTAGCTTCCATAGAAAGAAAAAAGCCCGGGCTTACACATAAAAAAAATCCGTGCATAGAGTATGTCGGACAAAATTACAAAAGTAAAGTTGAAAATAAATATCAGGGGTTGAAGTTTGTTGTTAAATTATTTGGAAAAAAAAACTGTCTCAGAAAACGATTCAAAACCTCTTTGAAATCATGAAATTCAGACCCCTCGCCTGGGCTTACACATTTCTGATTGGCTTGCTACGCCCCTGGAAGTTATGGGTATGGGTCGTTCAATATTCATGCGATTGGAAAATACAGTTGACTAAGTAGGACATTCGTCACCAGTTACCGGCCATTACATTATGAGTATTTTGTCTTTATGAATTTTGATTTTCATTAGTCGCCTGCAAGGTTTCAAAATTTTGGCGCTTAATTTGCAACACTTGCTAGTCCCCCAAAAAAGAAACAGCTGTGTAAAAAACAACAGGAAAATACCAACAGGCCAATTTAATCTTAATCCACACTCAGATTCAATAAAACTATGGGGGATATAAACAAAATAAAAAAAAAACAATACACGGAGACTCATGAAAAAGTTCAAGGAAAATAAGATAAAATGTTCCGGAAGAGTAACCATCTTCTGCTTTATCGACGACACCTGGCATGTAAATCTTGCTCAGTCTAAGTAAGTGATGAAACATTCTCAAATGAGAAGTAAGACCTTCAGCTGACGACGTTTAACAAAAATCGATAATGATAATGGGTATAGGTTTTTGATGCTGGTTAATTCATTATTCGGCTCTGCAGTATTTCATTCTAAATTTGTATTGGAAATTCGCAATCCATTCGTACATGCACAGAGATTTGGCAAGAATTTTCGATCCCGCGTTCTTATACTCAATATAATGCAATATCAAGTCGAACCTCCCTATCTCGAACTTGATGGGACCATGGAAACCTTTCGAGATAATCGAGTGTTCGATTCATTAGATTGGCCCATTATAAAGGTTTTAATTCAAATTCATTTTATTTTTTTTGATTTACACAAATTTTATCTCTCTGCTATTTATGTAATTATTATGTAGTTTATGAATATATATACATGTCATAATGTATTTTTCATAACCAAACTGCTATACCTGTATATCTGAAACATGACCAATAATTACAGGAAAAATGCAAATTAACTGTTTCCTGCTACCTGTATATGGACCGTGGATCGAGAATTTGTGTCAAATCCCTGTGAACACATGCCCGTTGTCAACTATAATTAGTTAATGAAATAATGAAATCCATTTCTGCATCTTTTGGACAATTCTTTAAATGTCACAAGTTTGAACTTTAACCCATAAATCTGTTTAATTGTAGTGCTATATATTGTGATAGGAACGTACTGATAGCAGGCGTGTCCGTTTTTTTTTTTTTAAATTCCATGCATCAATAGGTCTTTATTGTAAACTTCGGTCCACATACCATTTAGATCGGTGACATAGCACTTACACCGACTGATTTACATAGCTAGTGCAAAATCCCCGGTCTAGTTCTCAACCTGGCAGTGGGGAAATCATCGCGGCGTTTACTACTATTAATAACAGATTTGATGTATGTGAAGTGTAATAACACGGGTTTTATGATCCGCAAGGCTTTTCAAGGCACTCATAAAATCGGCTGTTATTGCTATGTGCTGAGTCTGATACAGAGACTGGGAAAATATACACTTATCACAATGACAAGTCCTCCCTTGGGGTGTATGTTTTTAATGGTTTGAGGACCATACATACGTTTGCACCAAATGAGACATCACATTGATAAATTGTTAAAATAGATGGAGGAAGGGACATTTGATTGTGGTTGATGTAAGCTGTATTGTAATTTTTTGTTATAACAAGATAAATCTCTACGGAGGAAACACTTTGATATATGTACAGATTACAATGGTTTCTATGTTCATACAAGTAATTGAAAATAAAGATGAAAGCAAACACTTTTCAGATCTATAGGATGCGAAATATTCTTCAACCCATTAGCAAGCAATTTTGATCATCTGAATCTACTAATCAACAAGTGAGCGTACAACAGAAGACTAAAACGCGGAAAATCTAAATAATCGAGGACATTTTCTGTTCTACAAACATTTATATCGATCACAGAAAGACAAAGAGAACACTATGTAAAGGGTTTTAAAATCAAATGAGAGTGCAGACTCCACTTATCTCGTATTCAGTGACAATTCGATGTCAAGCTGGAATCTTAAGACAAATGTTTGTTGTGATATCTACCTGTACCAATTTCGGTATGAACGTATCAGTAGGAAAGAACACAAATTCTTGGATTTATACAAGCCAAGATAATTGTTTCAAAAATAGATAATAAAGAATATTTTGTTAGTTGATGCTGGAACGGAAATACGTCTGGAAAACATTTAGAATTGCTTTACTTTGGTCATTGCTGACGTCATACCTCCTATCCTTGCGTTGTAAGCAACACCAACACCACACAAACTATTGTTTGCCACCATGGCGATCTCGCCAGCACAACGGGTGCCATGTCTGTATGAATAAGAAATAGGGAACTACTAGTGATAGTATTGATAGATACGGAGTATCAAAAGAATATTTGCTTTCTTTTCAGTTCTGTATATGGTCACAATGTTAAACACTGATATTATCATCAAATGTTGGTATACACAATATATATACATATTTGTGCCTGACTGTTACATGCGAATACATTGACAACGATTTCATTATGCTATTAATATGTATACAAGTTTTCAATTTCTATCTCATATTGTCATCATTGATATTTCATTTTTCCTCTCATAAGGTAAAGATTATTTCAGAATTATTTCATTATAAATGTCATATAGTCACTATATATAAAAGAAGCTCAAAACATGCAATGTACGTGTTTCCCTATATATAGATGTGATTGATTTACTGTTCATAAGTTGGTATTTTGACGTACTTGTTTTCGTTCGTAGGGTCATATCTCGGCTGGGGGTCGCGATCATTACCATTCAAATCCGTACTCGCCTGAGGATCCTGTATCAACAAATATCAACATACAATAAATATTGATAACTGGCTGATTTCTATTGAACTAGGACATAGAACTAACTGTATGAGCGCTTCATGATATCATATATTAAATTGAAAGCTTTTAAAATTTATTAATTTCAATGTGTTCTTGATTAAATCTTAATGTTGCATAGAGGTTTTCGTATAACTTATAATTTATCAGTTTCTGTGACATGTTTTATATATATATATTTTACACAGAATCGTAAATGGAATAATCTCTTTACTTATCTAAATGTAAATGTACGCCGTGTAGCAATATTTGTAGTACAAAGTATATACATGTATATGTTATTTAATTTGATCATTCTTTAATCTTTAAATGAAGATTATTGAGATTTAAGTTCCAGCTTGAAACGACACAGTTAAAGTAAGTTTATTTATATATCAAGTGTATTGAGCATTACATCTGTGTTAGTATATTGTACGCAAAGTATACTCACTACAGGTATGGGCATATTGTTATAAAGATAATACGGACTTGTGCAAGGCTAGGTATTAGATAGTATATTTATATCTATATTTGCAAACAATGTATATGAGAACTTGATCGGTCCAGTATATTATGTATTTAACGATGCACCTTCTATCTTCTTTAGGTTATAGGGTGGTAACTACAGTTGAACTCGAGTAAATTAAACATTATATATACAGTTTTGATTCATTAAAACATAGTTTCTATTTATATCCTTGTCAACATTGACAGACATTAAAACTGACCAATTCTTTCAATTTGTCTACCTACAAACCACCATAATGTAGCCTACTGTTTACCACAGGAATGCAGGCAACAACAACTATCTTATTTATTTACATCAGAAATATTCATATTCCATTTTCTGTATATAAAGATTCTCAAGATTACTCTAATGAAACTTCGTAAAAGAATACCTTAAAAGATTGACAATAAGGACCGTATTTCTAATCAACTTTATTTCGCAGAGACATTTTGAAATGTGCAAAATTCAAGACCAAGTGTGTGATACGATGACGTTACGTGGCAGTCCTTAATTCAGAACGTCATATCACTATGCACGATCGAGAGAGTCTATGATTATCCTTGTATAATGATACTAAGGTTTATAAAGGTTATATAATAAATTACAACAGCAGTTGTATATATTATGAGATGATTACAAACACACTTAATCACGACAGCTATATACAATATGTGTAAAGCATATAACATCTCTAAGTATAATAATATGACCACGTGATCACTTTTAAACTGGTGCTATGATCTGTATGTTGGTTATATAAGTAAAGCATATGAGTCATCCAGCGATTGTAGTGTTAAATGCTTCACTCTTTATCTGGATGGAAAATGTGCACTTGAACAACATTCAGCTCAACATGAATAAAGCATATTACAACATAACACGCCAAAAGTAATTCATACTTACATAATTTTGTGCTAGGTCTGTGTGATTATGTTCAAGACCTAATAAACACATAAAATAAATTTCAAATATGGGAAACGTATTTAATATGAATATTTTTATTTTTGTCTTTTTGTTCTCAGTGTATGCATCTAAAAGTCACGTTTATTTACATATGCTATAGTGATAGTCGATTATCATAAAGCGAAACTGATGCATATCTAGCATGTATACATTTTATGCACATGCTTTATCATAACGGTAACTGATATACATCTGCCATGTGTACACTGTGTTTATATCTTTTATCATAATGGTCGATTATCGTCGCGCATTATCTGTTACAAATCTATATATGTATCTACACCTTTGCTATAGTAGTCGATTATTTTTGTAAACGTAACAGATACGAATCTATCATGAGTAAAAGTTTCCTTCTAGGGAATATATCTATTTTTAGTAAAACATACACGGTAGAGATAAAAAGAATCAATAAAAATATGTCATGGGCAATAACTTATTTGCAGCTACCATTGTAAATACAAAATGTTGAATTTTCTATCAAAAACCATAATAGATCAGTCCTGAATGTTTGAGAGTAAAATACATAACCTAGATATTGTACTAAAGACACACAAATGAGGATTTGATAAATTATTCAATACTTCTCCAAATGTATTTTTATATTATTTGTAGTGTTTACCATCGTCCAGCACTGTGATGACAACCCCCTTTCCTGTGAATCCTTGGTTCCAGACCGGAATGATGTGGAGATCATACTTTGGCTTAGTAAGATCATGGGCTTTATCTTTCTGCAAAGTCATAATAATGCCGCAAAATCATATTTAGGTTATAAGCCCAAACATAAAAACGAATAAATTCTTGCAATACATGTTACTTGTATGTATGCAATGTTTTTTAACCAGTTTTTTTTTTTTTTTTTTTAAAGAAATCAGATAAATTATATTCTATTTTTCGTTGACTATTGATGTATGCTGAATGATAGAACAAATTTTGAATTGTTTGAAATTCTTATCTTCATAATTATGATGCCAAATATCGTGTTTAGGATATTAATATTGATCTAATTCCTCACGCACAAACACAGAAATAGAAAACATTATTTTTTCTTTATGTTTTCATATCGTTTTTCCTCAGCTATAAAGCCAATTGAAATACATTTCCACTTGTTTTTTTCTTATTGCCCATAAAGTCGTGACCTAAACTTCTCATAAACAAGTACTATTGATCTAAAACAGATGTAGATAAAATGTTATATGTAAACTGATCATTTTTCATGACCTAACACAATGTTACCGTATACTAGTGAACTAGTGTTACAGAAAAAACAAAACTTCAAATATGACCTCTCAAAACTTCTATGGTAAAAATTACAGGCCCTAGTAAACTGAATCATCATCCATACAAAATGTCGATTACACTAGGGCAAAATATGTGCGAAAGAAATATTTACACGGTTATTCTTGCAAAAGTACGATGAAAATAAGGTCGATTGTTCCGAAAGAGTAAGCTTCTTCTGCTTTAACGATGACACCCGCCAGGTAAACTTTGGTCAATGTCAGCAAGTAATGTCACGTTCTCAAGTGAGAACAAGGTCAACAACAATAGAACCAACAGTCATACATCATACATCAAAGAAATAAGACATTTCTCTTTGAGATCATTATGATGACCGTGAATACTTCACAATATATAATATAGTCATTACATGTCAACATACATTTTGTGTTGCTTTCAATGTTTATTTTTTCAAATGTTGATTTCATTAGGAAGTGATTGTATACTTACAATGTACCACTGTTTCGCCCATAGAGGGTCATTAAACTCCATGCTGACATATTGTCTCTCTTCTCTAGTCCTTTCTTCAACGATATCCCGTTTGGTTCGAGATTTTGCAACCTGTTGTTCAGTCCAGTGTACCTAGAGTTATAAAATGCTCCACGGTTCTGACTTTCATATACGAAATCGAAAAAAAAAAAAAAAACAAACCCCAAAAAATAAGATAACCAAATAAAATAAATAAATAAACAAAACAGTCACAGATAACACTTAAGATGTTTCATTTCAGTACGATTTTGTTATTTAAATTACTATCCTTACAAGAAGTGGTTTTTCTTGAATAACAACGTATTTCTTGTCTTATTCCAAACATTCACTTTCACACATAGGCTACATACGATGTACAGTTGCAAATTAACTGTAAAAATGAAGTCCATATAACGAGAATTAATAGAGTAGAACTTTTACTGTGTTGTATAGCGAGGTCAAAATCACTGTAGAAAACAGGAGAAATCAACATAGTTAGGTGAGATAAGGAATAGGCTTTCAGTCAGTGCAAGTTACACCTATCGATGTTCTGTTTAAGAGTTTTTATCACAGTAACAACATGTGGTATACATGATATATCAGGAAGATATGTAGCTGTTGGTCGATTTAATGAACCGCATGCTCTGTTCACATGTATGAATATTCATAGATCCAATATACATAACGATAATGAATTTTCGCAAAATAAAAAAGAAAAAAAAGGAAAAAAAAAAAAAAAAAAAAACTGACAAAAATGTATTGCGTCGTCAATTATCACCATCACACATGCATATACTATCTGGAGATTCTTAGGGTGAATGATACATGGAGCAATGACAGAACATTATACCAATAGCAGGTACTACGCTTAAGTCCAATTGTCTTTATTCAAGTGATATTCTCTGTTTTAAGCAGATCTTAACGTTGGGATAATACATTAATATGCGTTAGATAAATGTAAATGCACATACTATGTTTATATATGACCAGTTCCATTATCTTGTAACTGATTAAATGGTAAAGTTCACGTATTGATACAAGCCTAATATTGCTAGTATGAATAAATGATGATTGACAAGTATTGTGAACACGTGATTCTAAAGTTACAACGGAAGTAATGATTCCGGACAATGAGGTGATTTCTATTCCACCTGACCTTAATTCCATAAGGCTTTTCATTAATGTTGGAAACGGCATTAATCCCGCCACCGGAAGTGAGATAAGCACACGTGACAGACTTCGAGTATTCGCTGTTCATTTCAACATTACTTTGCATTTCATTTCCGCAGTTTCTGATAAAGGATCGCAGTATTGTAATAATACATAATCCAAACACCGTTTGTATTCAGACACTAGAACAGCTAGATCCGGCAGGAACACGTCATGCTCAGTCATATGACGGACGTACGGTCATGAAAAACGCGGGAATTATTCCGCCTTAACTAGGTAGACTGTGTTTGTATCGATTTTTGGAAGTTTGACCAGAACGCACGACAATGAATACATCCAAATGGACGTTTATACATAAGTAACGGTTTTACTCCGTCCCTTAATGAAGACACAATGTCGGGCCGGTCTGACATAATAATGTTACTAACTGCATAATAAAGGCTTTTAAACTTATAAATATGATAATAAAACGCTACAACCCATTCTCTGATGCTCGAAGTTGACATCTTAACCTTACATTTATGATAAGTGCTGAACACAAAGACATTGGGCGATATAGTTCCTTCAATTAGACACATGCAGTTTTGCTTTTATCCTGGTACATGTGTTAAAGACCATACTCACGCGCTCGTCTGTTTGGAGTCGCAGTGTATGATGATCAGCGCTGCGTTTTGAACGACTAGGAACTTCTGCATGCGTTAGGAGGTAATGGTCATTAAAAGGTTTGAGCTGCAAGAAATATAAAACATTTGAAAATATTTTGTCTAATTAGTTTTTTCTACCGATTTCTCCTTATGTAAACATATCATTTACCTATAAAACATCTCTCTACCTTCTCACAAAAGAATTCACCGACAAGTTTACATATACGTTACGCCTTCTTTTGACACACCTATTCAACTACTCTTGTTCGCAGGCTTTTCACTAATGCGATGTCCACGGCGGCATCCTATCCATGAAAACTAAAATCCCATTCTTTTTTCGAGCTAGTTAAGATCCTGAAGAGCAGAGGCGCACACTAGTCACGAACATTATTATGTTTAAAGTATATCATATAAAATGTGCTCACGATGCGCTTTCGAGAACTAACATCTTCAGAATATTCGCGAATACATGATTTCGTGAACGGTGATTTAGTAAGGACTTACCTATCAATGTTCTGTTTAAGAGTTTTTATCACAGTAACAACATGTGGTATACATAATATATCAGGAAGATATGTAGCTGTTGGTCGATTTAATGAACTGCATGCTCTGTTCACATGTATGAATATTCATAGATCCAATATAAATAACGATAATGAATTTTCGCAAAAAAAAAAAAAAAAAAGAGAAAAAAGTGACAAAAATGTATTGCGTCGTCAATTATCACCATCACACATGCATACACTATATCTGGAGATTCTTAGGGTGAAGGATACATGGAGCAATGACAGGACATTATACCAATAGCAGGTACTGCGCGTAAGTCCAATTGTCTTTGTTCATGTGATATTGCCTATTTTAAGCAGATTTTAACGTTGGGATATTACATTAATTAAACCAAATAAAATATGCGTTAAATAAATGTCTAAATGTAAAATCTAGTAAGGACTTCGACTTTTGTGAATAATGGGGCATTTGAAAATATCGGTGACCGAAGCATTATGGAAGTCATCAAGATATTTTTTTCGCGAGGGATTTGAATTAGCGATTGACTTTTCTCATGTATTATTAAGGAAATAAATCCCACGAAAAATATCAATGATTTAAGTTATAAAAAATGAAATGTTAATTTAAAATGCAAATTTTAAGCGCATGAGCATTGAGCCTTAATAAACTATCAAATCTATCCCATGTTATAGATCTAACACAAAAAATAACTTTCTGTCAGATTATCATCACTGATAGTCGACCGGTAGAAATATATAAATTTATCAACATTTTCCATTAACATGTTAAACTGATCAATATTTGCCATCTGCTGTTAAGGCATTGGCAATCTACGGCTTAGTTGTGTGATTCTCACGCTAAACCTGAAAACATAAAATTTCCTTCAGTCGTCATGTCGTCCATACCTTTTTGATATTGCGTTTGGTACATATTTACACAAAGCCAGTCGATACAATTAAATGCATCACAAAATCTACCATTGTATACAGGAACAAGATTAATAGGTTTGCACGGATTTCAATTATAACATGTTGTGTGAAATTCAGATGACTCGTTGTTCAATTAAGAATGCATTGAAAATTAGACTCGTTTGATTAGCAATGCATGGCATAAAAATAATGATTTAAAATGGCACGACGCCATGCTGTGTTTGATCCAACTGATCTTGGTATGTTGCTGCTAATGACTCCTATAATGTCATCATCGCTTCTGTAACAGTCCTTCTTTTTCTGCCAATGTTCCCATTGAATGCTTAAAGCTTCGAAAATGTCTTGTTGGATATTTTCCTTTTCCGCACAGCGACCACAATTACATTTAATTATGAAGAGCAATTGGTGTCAGATTAAGCTTGTTTTGTATAATAAGTTTACATAATATCTATCCACGTACGCAATAGAGAATGTATATCATGCATGTACATGTTCGCGGACACGGTTGTGAATACATATTGAAATTAGAAACGACAAGTTTGAGTTATGTAAACGCACTTATTTTGGCGCAATGAGGTTTTAGCGCAATATCAGTATTAAACAAAGTGACGTAAATGTGGATTCGCACATTCACTATTATTGTTATATTGACGACTAATACACACTGTCATTTGCGCAATATATTTGGCTCGATGAAATAACAGCTAAAAGTTAAAAGTAATTCAAATCATACCCTTTATCGTTTTATCGTCATAAGGAAATAAGGCTAGTTGAACGGAGGCGATGTACATACATATGTATATTTCCTTCGTTAGTTGTGTTATCTTGTTGAAATATACATGAATTAACACAATGTATCATACACACTAATGTATATTGATCTGAAGATTTCAGAGTTAAATTTCCTGTCGAAATTGCACCTGTGTTTAATACAATTCGTATCCATATATGTATATGCATTGTGATCCAGGTGTTGATATAAAAAAATAGAGAATTTGCCATTATGACCTTGTTGGGAATTTCCTAGTCTCTATCCCATCAACTTCCAAACCTGAATTTCGGGATGAATTAGTTGATTAGGCATTTGTCAAATTTCTTGGCTGGGCGATTTGGAGGCGTCGATAGGAAATTCGAGGCAACGGATAGGGCACGAGTCAAATAATGTTAATGGTTTATTTAATGAACGGCTTATGTCATCTTAACAGTAAAGCTACGTAGATAGGATGTACCTAGAAAACAACAAGATAAACACCAATATTTCAACCAAGATAACAAAAGGGGAAAAAGCAAACAAATGAGACAAATCAAAGGAAAATATTACAGGAAACACTATGGGAAGAAATCTAGATCTTCCAGAAGTGTTTGAAATGATTTTTACAAATAAGAACTAGGTATTTAAAAGCATCATTTCCACAAGATCTTATCTAGATAATATACTGTAGAAATTTACAGTGTTGGTGCTTACCTTCACCGCATATTGGTTATATATTTATCAGGTTTCTCAACAACCGTTTTACACTATACAGCAATATCTACCTCAAGTAATTTACAATTTTATCCACAAGAAATTAACATATACATCAGATATCCCGACAAATATGTATTTGCTATGTATGTGTTTTTGTGTGATGCATTGCAAATGTGATATTTTGTAATGATCGTCACGCTTTCAACACAAGATATTTACCCGTGAAAGATGTAAACATGATATTACAAATAGTCCTGTTAGCGTTATTGAATTATCTGCAAAGTATTACCGAAATCCTAACCAGCATATAAATGCTCACTGTGACGCAGTTTGACAGTGGCTATCCCATATCAACAATTTGCATTACAACCAGTATCAATATAGACCGGGTCTACTGTATGACGTTAGGCATGCATGAATGTCGTATGAAACACATCCCATACTACAGTCCTGACATTAAAGGGATTATACGTTTATTCTATAAGATATTATTAGTCCCTCACCCACATGTTATTTCCTGTTACCGACGGAGGTTCTGGCATCGATAAGCTTATTAATTGGGCCAACCTAGCCTATACTCAGTTTTGTATAGACATTGCTCAGTCGATGATGGTCATTTTGACTTTTAGGTTACCTAATTTGAATACAAAGGCTTGACATATTGATCTATTTCAGCAGGTGAAAAATCGATATCAGAAGAATGCGATCCAATCATTACTAATTAATATGTTAAGGAATCAACTATCTAAAACGCAATTTACTATATGAGACATTTAGAGAAATTTTAGTTGTAGTAAAAGGCATATCCATGAATACGTATGAAGACCTTATTTGGTGTTTATATTATCAGTAAGTCTGGAATAGTGTGACTTATAAAAATCACACAATAACTGCCTTGTGCGATTATGATGAAATGGTGTCATCGAATATCTACATGGATCAAATTTGAAATAGGATTACATTGATCTGATTATAGATTTATATTTCGGTCTGTTGTCAGAGAAAGGTGCAAAGACACAAACGTAGTCGATAACCTCCGAAACAGATTAAGAATTAGATACAGTAGATCCTAACAATGAAACAAACAACTGTTTTATCATTCTAGAATTTGTCAGTCGTGGATGTGAGGGGCCTACAATTATTACATGCATTAAAAGTTAGTCAAGGTATTGTAAAGTCAGAGCAAAATACAAATCCATCCAAAAAAAAAAAAAAAAAAAATTGATTAGTTAATATTAGAACAAAGAGAAGAATTTGTTAGTATTTATACATGTGAATTAATAATGAAAATAACTTACTTTTCAGCACACAAAGCGTTGTTCAATACTTTATTCCTAGTTGATCATGGATAATCTAATAACGACATGCAGGATTGCCTTTCCATAAATAACCCTCTGAATCTATAATGTATACATGCATTTCAAATCTATAACCCCTATTCCATTTTTATAACCTGACATGATAGTTATTTTGAAATTGACATGTTGATATTTGAAGGAATAAAAACGATTTTTAGGGGCATCTTTGAAAGAAACAAAAATACTTTATAACAAAAAACACCTTTGTTTTCATTGTATACATCGTGACTGTAACAGTAATATCCAGAAAGGAAACGTAATTGGTAAATAAGTACAACACGTAGTAATGAATAGCGCAATGTATTCAACGTTTATGATAGGAGTGATATAACATTACAAATCAGGCCCCACTTGTATAAAACATTTCAACTTGAGATTTCCTCAAGTCGAGATTTTCCTCAGCAGATATCTCCTCAAAAACGGCTTGTATAAAATTTTCTCAAGGAACAGGAGGAAGTCATCGGCTAGGATGTCCTGAAATTCCTTGAGGGATTTTCATACAAGATATTTTCAAGAAGATATCAGCTGAGGAAAATCTGGGCTTGAGGAAATCTCAAGTTGAGATGTTTTATACAAGTGGGGCCAGGTATGATTTGTCACTGATACTAGTTCTAAGATAAGGTGACAACCTTTATCAATTCCTCTCAAAAGAAGTGAGTCAGAACTATATATATATATATCCGCGATAATTAATTATAAGTTATCAAATATATGTCGTTGACATGTATAACGAATACAGCCTACGCATAAATCATTACCATATAATCATGATGAAATGATCCCTCTTTGGTTTTGAGATTAAATATCAAGGAAGTGTTGGAACATATACTATTCGTGGGCTAATAAAACAAAGCCAAACGACTAACCAAATGACAGTAATGAGAAACTCCAACAAGGAAGGACAACTGCCGTTGTGTTCCGGATGATTTAACAAGTTTCTGAATAACTTCCTGTATTTATTGTAATTCGTCGTAAAGGCTTCTGATGTTAGCTACCAAAATTATCTTTTACATATCTGCTTTTGACGTCAACTTTGTCAGTAAGAAATAAAAAATATATAAACAAATAAAAGAGTTTCATTTCAAATAAAGGATAACATGTTTTTCCATTTTTGTTTTGCGGGCATTAAACTGAGTGCAATAAAGCATGATCCAAAATTACTCTCATGTGTCTTTGGTCGCACTATATATACAAACTATTTCCTACTCATGTGTTTTTAATTTCCGGTAATGACTGTGATGCTACCCATGCTTCATCGTCAACATGGCTATATTGATTCTCTCAACGTACAGTTCTTTGAAAGTATAATGGTGATTGATATTTGTCTGATGCTAATTTTGACAAAGCATGAATAGAAGGATTAAACAGACTTAAGCTATTATCACTTTGATCAGGAAACTAAAACTACCAAAATTAGACTGTCAACTTATGTTTTGTTTCCGTTTTTTATTTTATTTTTACATGTGCTCAAATTTTTAATGAATTTCATAAGTGAAAATCAACAGTTCTATCACTTTTATACTACTCTATATTTCTCTGGCAAAAATATAATAAGATGTTTTAGGCAATTGCCAGGAAGTCTCGTTTTGTACTTTGTATCAATCCATTATAATCACAGTACATTAATCAAGTCGTTTCTCATTAGTCGATAAATTAATTAGTCGATAAATTCCTAGTGACAATTAGATTGATACTTCATTACTTTTTTTCTCTGTAGTTACATGTACATGTACGTGTAAAAATCACACCTCCTTAATACACGAATAAAATATTTCGAAATTAAACATGAATTGCCTTTTAATTAGAGTGATGCATGTATAAATTAAGACATTTAGTTTTGTTTAATAATGTTTGCAACACACTTGTACAGTTAAGTAAACATTATCAAGTTTATCACTCTTTTTCCCCAACTTGCGTACATTCCTATACCCCCTTCCTCTCCACTGCACCTACCCTGACAATTGTGCCGATGAAATAATGGTCTGCGCGATTCTAAAACTCAAAGATAAAAATAAAAGATGCAGATAGCTAGGCAGTCGAACAAAAAAAGGTGTACCAACATCTTTTATTCAATATCAAACCTTTTGTATTTGACATATTGATGCTTGATAATATATTATATCATAGACATTGCCTAGTTATTCTCTTCGCCATTCCGGTCTATCTTGTTTTAATCCAAATGCATCGTCCGTGTTCATTGGAATTTTTTGTATAGATGTATTCATAGGCATGCTAATCAAAACAAATCATGATAATGTTTTTAACTAGAAGGGCGACTCTAAGAGACAAACACCAGCCACACTTCTTTCAATCTAAATATTTTTCTCGGTAACATCAACCTAGTTCATTACGGAAGTGCCAATGCAATTTAGAAACCTTACCGAATCTAGATTAGGCTATCATTTTGATATTTCCTTGTAAGATGTTGTTGCAGATTGTTTTTTTAAAAACATTATTTTTGCTATATTATATATACATCATGACTATCTGAATACCAACACCTTGCCACTAAACCTCGTAAAAACATTGTTATCCGGATATTCTTCCATGGTGTGTGTCTAAATAGTCATAAAATTGCTTCCACTTGCAATTGTCGTGCATACAGTACAATTGGTTAGAATAACATCGGATCTGAAAATTGTATGACGTATACTATATATGCGGAATATAATTGACGAGTGAGACGATTCAAATTTCCGTCAATATCACTTCCATTTTGTTATATTTTCAGAATTGTTTCAACTGTTACTTTATATATTTACTTTGTTATTTGAACAGGATATCCTGATATCTCGATGCTACATATTGTATCCATTAAGACCTGGTCGACTGTGCTAAATACGAACACTACCCACTCTGATCAGGTAACTGTCGATGTCGACTAAATATCGATCTGTAGCAGGTGTTACTAACTGTAGGTAAGTATGGGTGTCACGGTGTGGTGACGATCGACTTACAACTGGTTTCATTTTACCACGCAATACACAAAGAATCAATATAATGGCTCCTTTCTTACCTGCCTTGTAGCTTAAAGGTCTTCAGTACATGTTCTGTTCATGGAATTGATGCTATACGAGGAGGTAATGATTTTTAACTTTGGAAGGAGGCGGTTTATTATTATTATTATTATTATTATTATTTTTTTTTTTTTTTTTTTTTTGTTATTTGCTTTTTTTATCATTTGATCTATTTATCTATTGTTTCAATAATAAAGGATAAAATGATCCCCGATTCATTGTTAGATGTTCTCATCATAATAATAAATATTATAATTTACCATCTTTATATAACCACTGAATGGTCTTGACATCGGGCAAATGATCCTCACTTAAAGTAAGATTACGCATTGGGATATTCGACCAATTCGACTTAACGTGATAGTTTGCGACTAACGGTTCGACCCTCCTAATTATAGCAGTTTATCAGTAATGTCAATACGTCAGAATTTACAGCTGACTATTTTAAACCAGAAATCCTAGGTTTCGTACGCCCGTAACACCACTGATGAGTTCTAGAAGGACGAAACAGCTGTAGGATGCAGTTTGATTCATTGTTTGACTTTTACTGCATCTAACAAAACTTGTAGTAATGTTGTTATTAATATGTGTCTTTTGAACAATTTTAGACTAGGAGAAAATGGATATTGATTGTCTTTTATGTTTTAAAAAAGAGTGTGGATGTGATGAATGCCCAGTTTGATTAGCTGTAACATACGACCACATGTCCGCATTACTAATACAGTGCACAACCATAAAACCGATGAAATGAAAGAAAATGTCATACACGCCGAAATAGAAGATACTATATTTAGTTTTTTAACAGCCACGACGCAATTTTCTTTACAGTATTTGTAATGTCAGTCTTAATGTTTTGCATTATCTTAGGTCCAATTCTGTACTATAGAATGAATCTCTCATTTTGTGTAAGGTGTCTATTTCAGTTGTACACTCCTAAACTGCAAAATGCACTATATATATATATATGTTTGTTAAAAAAACTTAATACATCACAATAAAAAACATGTCACACCCAGTTTGTATTGCGTATGCTATGTAAAATCTACATTGTACCACATATCTTGCTATCCATTTCTTGCTAGATGCTTACACAGATTATGTAAAATGACTTACATGCTTCATTGTTTATATTTCTTTAAAATTTGCATGAAAATTTCGAGTGACACGGATACACAGAAAAAGAACAAGGGGTTGTCCTGATAGTCTGAAATAATGTTCTCTGCTTAATCGGCAACAATTGAAATGTATAACGTATTCAATCCAGGTAAGTGACGACGCGGTCTAAAATACAATAATGTAATCTCCGCACATACTAAATAATACCCAATACATTCAATTTCAAAAATAAATATATAATTCTTCAAGAAAATCATGAAAGCGTCGATAAAGAATCATCAAAGATCTTATAGCCTGTTAAAGTCTTTTTACTTCGATAAAATTCCAGGACTTTTCATTTTAATTCTAGACGTGCTTAGAAATTTTCAATTCAACTAATTTTGTTTTTACATCAAAAATCGAATGACCTTATGCAGAATTTAAGTAGTTATACAATTCTGTTATCTACATGGTAACTGATGACGTCAAATTCTATTTGACCCCAATGGTATATCACGTGATGTTCTGTTATCTACATAACAATTTTTGTTCGCTCGACATATGCATATTATATTGTGTAAGATTTTGTCAAAAAATTATTTTCACTGATTGATAAGTTGTGCGGAGGTGTGAGGCATTATTCCAGTAAATTTACTCAGCATTATGAGACAATTGTTTAATATTTGTTTTAGAATCTCAATCACATTTAGATGTGAACGAGCTAAATGTCATCGAAAGCACTTTCTTTAACAACTTTCTAACAGTGTGAATAATTTGTGCCATAAAACCATAGGTTATTGTATATAACACGTGTTCATAATGAGATAATGAGACAAAGCCAATAATCTATATAACAGGTGTTGACTGTAATATCCTCAAATCTAATGAACAACTATCTACTCAATTAGCCGATCAATATTTTAACGGACAAAAACTAACATATGTACGGCAGATAAAACAACCATGCAGGTTGTGTTGTATCACAATAACTAAATGTGGTAACATACATCCTAACTATACTAGGATTATGTACATAATACACAAGGATATGGTACAATACATATGTGGGCTCTGACATTTTATAACTACACCGTAATTATCGGGATGATTGGGGAAATTGATGCTTGAAATGAAAATTATGTAGGCAATTCTAGCCCAATTTCAACGATCGGTAAAAACGAGTCATATTTAAAACAAGAATGTAAAACAGATGCCTACTTCCAGTAAGGTTGATTCTTATTTTGTGATGGGATATTTAATGCAGAAACATTATCAAACTGATAATTGTATATACATATGTAAATATTTAATCAATTAGATTTCTACTGTAGTGAATACGATCAACATTTGTTACAAATAATATCGCCTTAATTATCTTTTAAAGTTTCCATAGGAACATAGCATACCTCTTTCAGTATTTCGTATCCATGGTGTCTGGCCACGCGATGAACTTCTTCATAACCTCCTGGGATTTCGACAACCCATTCATTCAGATAATGATTATCGGCAGTGACATTACAGATGTAAAGGACAAACAAACAGACAGAAGAAAGAATAATTCTTTCTCTCATAATACACGACTATCCACACAGAATCGAAAATCGAAAAAGAAAGGTAACGGGAAAAATGTAGAATTAGGATCACGTCATGGGGAAGAAAGTTTATACACAGAAAACCTTTCTTAGCTCCTGATTGGTGATAGGCCGTACTAGCCGAGGACACAGTTCCAATCTTTGTTACCTTGCCATATCAGTAGTTTGGGGTCGGTATTAGATAATACCGCACGAAACACGACTTCAGTGAGAAAGTAGTATTGTTTCACAGCTGTCACCGAGAGAAAGTACTGATAGACCGACACTAGCCTCTACACTGTTACTAGTATTGTATATATACATGTATTTGATGTCATTTCCAGCCGCCCGCTCATTCGGTCGTGTGCATAATACGCGCATTACACGATCCATTGGTATACATCTTTCCTCAGCATCAGACCTAATCAGAGCCGTATCGCTGTGGTGTGAGCAATGAAAGGAAATCAGGACACATTAAAATATTTGTGGAAATATCAATTTAGCAAAATAATGTACAACTTGTCCATATTATTAATAGGCCTTTTAGAAACAATTGACTGGCTGATACTGGTCCCAAATGGATAATCGACATGACAAAGCCATGGCCTTTATTAATTGTCGCAGGCTGATGAGATTTTCTGAAGTCCTGAATTCTGAATCCAGCATTAACAGGATAGAATACTAATTACATTACTGGGAGTTGGAAGGATAAAGCTTAAGTCTTATCAACCCCGTGGAAGCATTACTTACGCCTTTAATGTAACTGTTTGTTCATCTTGGTGACCACATCTTAATAGGATCTTTGTGCTCTATTGTTGACAGATTCGATAAAAGTGATGCTTCAGTTTTTCTTGATGCTGTTAATAGTTATTTGCTATTTAAACAGACAATAAAATGACGCATTATTTCACTGTTACTCATAACAAAATTATACTGTATTTTTTTCAACTATATGATCATAACTAGTTTTTGCAATTCCTATGTAGGTATGTACTCATTACATAATGACAAATATAATGAATATATAATGCTTGAAGTACGTTTTTGTAATTTTATCACGTGATCATCAGACCGTTATTAAGATTATTGACCTAATCCAAGCACTCAAGGTCTTGACAATACTGGAACCACTTTTGTGGGAAAAGAAAAACAATGTTAACATGATTGATTATCTTAACAAGACTTGGTAAATACAGGATTGCGACCAATTTCGAAAATCATTTTCTCCGTTAATGCTCCATTGTTTTGCCAAAGAGACCTTTATCATTTACATATAAATTCTTATGTAAAAAGATAAACAACTTTCTTTTATTTACTGAAAGTGTAATATTCTGCACTGACTTCCTGATTATCACATACAGGTACCATATGTCATTGAAAGACCACATCAAATCAGTTAAAAATATCTACTTCGTTTTATTGATGGAAACAAGGTTGAACATCATATGTGCTACAATATTTCCTTTCAAACTTAGTAAATAATATTTCCAATTGATACGATTTTCCAGCTTTATCTCTTAATTAGTTACATTTACATTTTAACTCCAGTTGGAGTCAATGAAACTTCCAATTAGCTTGTTTCATTTGTCAATGAATTTTACCAGAATGACATTGATCTGCACGTATAAATATATAAAAAAGTTAATATGGGAAGATAACTCTTTAACATTTTTGATATAACATATCTGGAAATGAAATATAAAATAATTATGAAATACATTTGAAAATGTAACATTATGATCATTTTGATGAAACCTGTATGGAACCTTGTCAATGCTGTCATCTGCTGCAAAAAAAAAACATGCAGTCAAAAAAAATTTAAAACTTCCGCCAGTTGAAAATAAAATTGCGAACAAGACCAAAAACATCCATTGTGCGATTCTGATACAAAACTGCTTCTTGACTCGGTTCGTGATGTCATTGAAACGGAAAAAAAAAACGACAAGATTCACTCTACACATATTTAGCAGGATTTCCCTTATTATTTCTAAATCTGTTGATAAACTTAATCATTTCATTTTGATATATATGATTTGTGTTTCGTTATATTGTAAATTTGTGATCTTATTTCGCTTTGGTAGTACTGTTTGATCCTCCTCTAATTCGGTGTTATTCATTTGTGTATTTTTATAGAATCTTCGAGTTTACAGACAGTAGACATTGCTGTTTAATGTTATTCTAGTTTGTTTAAAATACGAAATTAGAAAGTTACATAATACATTTAATTATGCGGTAAGTGCACCGTCCTACCTATATCCTGGCATTGTTTGTATTGAAAATTCACTTGTATGTCTTTTGTAAAATCTATCACTAATCGACGTAATTGGACTTCTACAGATTTCTAATACTGTCGACTGTCATACAAAATCAACTGTCTGATCTGACAGACAAGAATCAAATCTTGTTTTGGTCGATATCATGGTCTTGCTCTTAAGACAAACTCAACTCGATTCATTATTCCACGGAGTCGGTCGAAGCGCGATTCAGTGCTTTAATATCAAATACTATAACCGGATATGTTTTCATGAATCACATTAAATATTGATAACATTTAGTATGAGTAGTATTACATAAAAACATGCCGATAATGTTTCTCTGCGCAATCACAATATAGACCAAACCCTTCAATATCTCCCTCCTACGCTTCGCCTACCTTGTAGTCCCCCTACAAACCCACACTAGGGAAAAACAAACCATTGTTGTGACAATACAATACAGAATTAATAGTCAGGAGAAGTACAACTGAAAACTCCCTACGATCCTGTGTTGTAGTGGTGATGCAATCAATAAAAGTATCTTAAATCTCCCTTAAGTAGGAAGAGGATTACTTTTGCACTGCTTTCTCTTTTGATGTCCTTGTGGCTTGGGATCCGTTATGATAAGATCATGGTATTTACCAAAATGTTCAACCAATATATAACTGTCGGGTTGAGCTATAATGTTATTCCCAGTTTTCTCTTAAATGTCATGCTCGGCTTACGTCCTATTAAAAGTCAAGCATATATTTATTCTCTGCCATTTACCGATAACTATTGCAATGTATTTTATTACCGAAGAAGACACATTCTAATTATTTCTGCCAATCGCTATACATATTTTTTATGAGATATAAAAGAAGAGAAACGAACACTAGAATATTCCGCAGTGAATACAGATGCCGCCTTTTCGATGAATCAGGTGTGACCGTACAAAAAATAAGCATTGCTTATTTACTACTCCGAAAGTATTGATGTTGTTGTGTTTTTATTCAAAATTGAACCTGCCCTTCACTGTCTGTTAAGATCAGGTCATTACACAATAACCAATTGCCCGTAATAATGCACGATGACAGCTGAATCAATTAGCTATGGGAACGACTAGACAGTTTAACCACGATTTAAAGACTTTAACATCATTCCCCCTGCACGATATAATTATGGGTGCCATTGCTTCTTTATATACAGGAATATTACCTGTTGACGTGTTAAATGACGCTTTTCACGTGCCTTAAATGGTTAGGATGTCCTTTACCCTCAGTAAGTATTTAACACTTCCGGTAAGATGAGGGAGGCAATTTAAATCCCATTAGAGTAAAGCTTTGATCTATTTAGCCGTAATTAGGCGATTGTTACGTCGTTATTGGTACTTTGAAATACTCTAGCTGTCATGCTAAACCGCCATCATGGCACAGAGCGGTAAAGTAGCATTTATTGACGAAGACGGTATATATTTCAAACTCCAGTGAGCGAGGTACTGCAGAAACGTTACCTGCTACGGTCTATATAAATTAATCATCCTTAGCGTATCATCGTTCTAGGTTTACTTTTTGAATGAAATAACTAAACGTCATATAATTGATTGATTGTGATAAATGAATGTGTCAAGAAGAAGTATTGACGATAAAATTCATATTTATGCCGGTGAAAGATTGCGTTGTAATTTATTTTGTGCTTTTTGATCCCTAAATATTCCATAAACCATTTTGAATTTGTTTCCTTGCGATTGATTTAATAAGATAGTTTGCATTAATTTTTATATAAAGAACTTGATATTGCAATGCCACAGAGGTTTGATATGTGTGCTTGCATTGCGGATGGGAGTACACCAGTTCTGATTTGATAAAAAATCCGAACCAGATTCAAATCCCGCGTTTGATTTCTCGGTTAAACTTTAAATAGTGTCTACAGAGATTAAATTGCACTGAACTGGAAAATGCATATGCATTGGATCGGAAAAAAGTTTCATTTTAGAGAATATCGCTATTTGATAATTGTATGGCTTCAATAATGTGACTTCCTGTATTCAGTATTGTCAAAAATGCTTCCCTTGAATTTGTTGTCAACAACTCGTGTACACATTTATCGACTGGATGATAACTTTATTCGAAAATAGATAAATTTACCTTTATTTCTAAACAGATAAATGAAATAGACAAATCTGTACAATTCATATATATTCTGTATTAAATGCTAAGAGAAAATAATTATCATTTTCCAAAGCACGTCGTATGTTATCATGTAAGATAGAAATATAAAACGAATTTCTTACACTCTATATACACGGTAAAAGGTAGTATATGAAATAGTCAAAATATGTTAATTGCGTCCCACATTATTCTGCCAAAAACTCTACTGTCATACTGCTTTGTCGCTGATTATGTGTAATTTAGCATTGAGCCATCGACGTTGAAGTCTTACAAAATGTACAAACTACAAATTAATGAATTACAACTTTCAATAATATTTTGGAATTAGATAAAGTAGAGACAAATAATGAATAACACTGTATTATACAGCTGATCCTTCTTTCTAGAACTCAGTTCAAGACCAAAACTTAAACTCTATCAGACCACTGAATAAAATCAACACTGACAGGAAGAAATAGAGCTATATATACGGGGAAGATGCACTTACATACATAAACTTTTCGTTATGTCTTGCTCTTTTTCCAGCAGAAATACATGTTGCTAAGACACTAGACAAAAACACCAGCAAATGATGAATACCTGAAACTTTCAATATTCTATGTTGGTCAATGGTAGGGAAGGTCAAAAACAAACAAAAACGATGTGTTTTATAACAATGTTTGATTTTGCATCATTATCGGAGAACGATACAATAGATAAGTTACCAAAGCAATTTTTATCGTTATGTTGATGTTGTTTGTTCAATGATTCCAACAATACAGTTTAAGTCTTTAAGTTTTGGGTTTGATGTGTTTATTACTATTTAAGACTTTATCATCCCATTTATATCCAAATTCACCAATTTATACCTAGCTTAACCAGTACGATCTTTTACCAGTTGCCTCTGGTACTTTCTTCTTTTTTATTTTTTGGATTTATGTTTCCGCAAACCTTCTTTGCTAACGACGAAGGGTTATGCCATTCATCTCA